CAGAATTGATTTTTCACTCCTCCTATTCGCATGCTCTGACATAACTACGTCTAGGATATATGGGCCCATTCCAAACTAATCGTATTACCCTGCACCGTGCTGAGATGAGGAAGAGAAGATAGAAGTAAAGAAGGAAGGTGATGCCAATATTACTACATGCCCCTTTAATGTGTGTACTGGGGATTCTAAGATCCTTTACGACTCAATCATGTGCATTATGGCTAAGCAGGAGACACTCCAATGAATGCAGGATTGAGTGTTGTAATATAACTGTGCTTTACTGTACTGTATGCACTATACCCCATGTGGATGGGATCATACATTTTAACACCTGTCCTGGCTTACATCATGATGGTATTTTTAAGTAATGGACAACTTTGTAATGTCTGAGTTATAGACTATGAGAACTTCAAAATAGCAGGTATGCTAATTTCTGTGAAACTCTCTATTTCTGTCTCTCACTCACTCTCTCTCTCTCTCTCTCTCTCTCTCTCTCTCTCACACACACACACACACAACACACACACACACACACACACACACACACACACACACACACACACACACATTGGTAATTGCCCACCCGTCTAAACACACGATTTCCATGGAAATAATCATAATACAAGCTGTTCCAAGACAGGCAGGGTTTGCAACAGGGTTGGGACCCTTGTAGAACCACTCTGCTCTTCTCATACACAAACACGCATTAGTGGGCGTCCTTGGTTTGGCTCCATAGAAATAGTACAAGCCATTATCACAAACTGCTCTCTGTTTTACCTTGTAAAAAAATGTAATTCTTATTTTGAGATAGAGCAGTATATTGCAAATATTATATCATTATAGTTTTAATTTTTCTTGGCAGATTGTTTTGTTGTCAGGGCTTTCAAGCTTTCAGAAAGCCTTGGAATAATGTAACATGTGGAAAAGAAATGTGAAAAAAGACGATTGGTGATTGAACTTATTTAAATGAGAGTGTGTCTTTGAAGCGATGGCATCGGGACCTTTGTTAGTGGTCCCGGCGGAGCGGCTGTGTTGACAGTCTCTCAGGTTTCTGACAGGAAAAGTGGGAAACCTTGGCGTGTGCCTCAGGGCTTGTTCAGCATCGCTTCGTCTGTTTCTCTGATCAACTCTCCCGTCTTGTTTAAAGTTACCCTTGAAGTCCAACCCGAGGTGTCAGAAAAACAACCACAGACTGGGAAGGAATGGGACCTTATGTACTTGATGTGGAGGAGGATGCCCTTGAGAAGAATGTCAATACCTTGATTTAATAATTTATAATGGCCGTAGTTACATGTCCCCTAAGAGCGGTGAAAAAAAGAATCTCCTGATCTGTGGAAATGTGGCCATATTTCAGCACCTATCCCCTTTACACACACGCACAAGCCCACATGGCCACACACACACACACACCACACACACACACACACACACACACACACACACACACACACACACACACACACACACACACACACCACATACACACCACACACACACACACACCACACACCACACACACACACACCACAACACACACCACACACACACACACACACACCACACACAACACACACACACACACACACACACACACACACTCACACACACACAGACACACACAGACACAGACACAGACACAGACAGACACAGACAGACACAGAGGTAATTAGAAACATCGACCAGGACAAGTCCACCTTATTCTTTCACTAAGGTAAAGTACAGTGACACTTCAGAGAGGAACAAAAAAAGATCAATACGTACCACTTCTGGAATACCAAACTACAACATATGCTGCAAGGTTAGTAAGATAGCTAACACCAACCAGCAGTATTTTCAGTCAAAAGCAGTAAAATAGGCCTATGGAAAACCAGAAAGATATTATTTATCTTTCATTTTCTTCTCATCTTTCTTCGTATCGAACCTGACACAGATTCCCCAACTCAGTTTCCCAGAGGTAGGATTGAAAGCCAGAATGAAACCTAAAGTCATTTCTCCTGTAGCAATATTTATACTGACCAAGCTGGTTCTCTGCATGGGTAATGTAGTGTTTTGGGCTGGGGGGAGGGAGATGGGCCAGAGAGTTAAATATCAAGTGTACATCTGGTGATTTAAGTTAGGCATCTGCCATTTGGATCTGTTCCCTCTATATTCTGCCCCAAACAGAACAGGTGGTTTCAATCTTTGTCTCCCTAAGTCATAGAGATGAATGGAAGATGGGTGCTGGGATAGATGCTGGCTTCAAGGGACATTAACATGGCATCTGTAGAACAAGGCTTATCTGAGGCACTAGTGGAGAGGCAGGAAACTTGTGATTCCACCGAGACGATGAACAATTTGTCAAGGTCTTCGACAGAGTTTTCCAACAGAAAATCTGAAACTTTCTTATGTGCTTTATGCCCAGGCAGGGTGACTACAGGGGGAGACGTCACTGTAGTAGGGGTGTATCTGCCTCGGGGGTTGAGAATGTTATACGTCTAAATGTCTGGGTATTGTGTCCCCAGTTAGTCGCTCCCTGCTGAGTACCTTTGTCAGACACCAGGTCCACTGTGACAGTGATGATAGTGTGATCCCTGATGTGCCTCCTGATGTTTTTCCATTCTCCCTCAGGAGGTGAAGTGAAATACTGTCCGGCAAGTACAGAAAACGTGCTTTTTTTTATGGCTTCTCTTCGATCTCAGGGCAACTGGGTGTATTACTGTAGGAAAAACTGTTCATGTGTATCGCTGGGCATTCTAGGTAATTACATACACAGGCTCAGCAAAAACACCACAATGACTCTTTAGTCATACTTTATGTTCTGGAACCCATTTAGACCTAAGTCATGTCTGCACACTGTTAAAATGTGACATTGTTTCCCCTCTCCAAGGTTAAAAGGGATATAAATGGACTTGGTGGGTGAAAGTTTTACTGGAATTTGCACAATTTTGCTCACATCTATCTAGTCTTGTCAGATCAGAGGTCACTCATCATTAGAAGACTGAACAGACAGAATAGAGGACAGAAGAATGGCCGAATGGATAGAAGGAATGAAGGAATGAAGGAATGAAGGAATGAAGGAATGAAGGAATGAAGGAATGAAGGAATTGGAAAACCAATAATCTATTAGCCATAAAATGGACTTTAATTAGTTTAAAATATATATTATGTCAGTACAGAGAAGAAAGAAAAGAGATACATTTTAGTAATTTAGCAGACGCTCTTATCCAGAGCCACTTACAGTTAGTGAGTGCATACATTTTCATACTGGTCCCCCTGGCCCCCCGTGGGAAACGAACCCACAACCCTGGCATTGCAAGCGCCATGCTCTACCAACTGAGCTACAACGGTAGCCTAATATTATGGTTTACAAAGCTTCACAACTAGCTGTCTGTCCCTTAGTTCTGTCTGACCAGAACTGACTCAGTTTTATAAGCTCTGAAAAAAGCTATATTGTTTCTGTTTCACTGTCTGTTGTTCAGAACAGGGCTTTGCGTGCTTGGCACACCCCATGTGTTTCTGACAAACACAATCTTTTATAAAAGAAGTGGTATGGAACAGAGTTTTTCTCTTCACAACGCCGCGGAGAGAGAGAGCGTGTCCTGGTTTTTAGTATCCTCCCTCCGATGGATATTCCCTATGGTTCTCTCTACAAAGACCCAGCTCCAAGAAGAAGAGAAGGAAGACATTCTTTGTTACTTCTGGATGGACTTGTCAATTAATGTGATTCTCTCTGCTTTCTTTGTGGTAGAAAAAAGTTTATATTTCTCGTTTCATGTGAAATTGAATTTTTTGTTGTTGGTCTCAAGTGGTGACAGAAGTCATGAAGATTAATTAGTTGTTTGATCATTTTTCTATTTTCTTGTTTTTGAGATGCCACCCTGTCGAGTCAAATCTAAACTCCAGCGGTTTTGTCCATCGATTGGCATAAAGTTGTTTGATCTCCTTACCCCATTGTTGAAGGAAGGAAACCAGTCTAAGAGAACACAAGTTTTCATTTGTTTTCAAATCAGATCAGTTTTAAATCATGTTTAAAATAAGTGATTATACAAAACACCCCTGGTATAATTGTCCAATATTCTTTTCGCAATTAAGTTGGTTTCTGAACAACTCACTGCAACATTCGATAATAGAACTCATCCAGAGAATGAGGCATTTGAAGAATGTAAAAATCACTACAGAAAGATACAACAATGTAATCTGGATAGAAATAAAAACACATATAGAATCTCAGACTCCACTAGCTATGAAAACACAGTGGAGTAACGACTGTGCTGCGTTTCAACTAAACTTGTTATCTAAAGGGACTGATTGCATGTAGTCTATTACAGTGTATTGTCTACTTGTAATTCCTCAGGGAAAATCAACAATTTAGAAGAATACATTTTTCACTTTACTTTTACGACAGTTATAAAATGTCTTGATTCATCATATAATCAATATATTTTTGTTGTTGCCCAAAACTGTTTCAAAGTTATCTGTTCTTTGGATGGCATCCAAATCCATAGCCAACCAAAAGCATGACATAGGATTTCTGTTGAACTCATCAAAAAGTGAGGCCTAGACATTCATTTCTATTTAAGTTGATTCATATCCTTGTGCACATCGGTTTCCTTAGATAATCAAATTAAGATATTGGAAAGGCTTGATTAACATACTAATGAGATCTTGGATTTACATCAAAAACTTAAATCAACAAGCAAAGTTATAAGGACTTTCTTAATCTCACTGTGAAATCAGCACATTGACAACATCGATAGCATTCAATCTTTTCTGGACGGTTTCCCCAATATGGTGTCCATCCCATAAGTCTTGATCGTGTCTGGTGGTAATCTTATTGAACTAAATATAAAGAAAACATCTTCAATTCTTACATCTTATTGAACTCACCATGTAGATGTTAACAAACGTTTGTTTAATTTGTGCATTTACCAGAAAACTATAGCCTTGAAAAGTATTGTCAGTATTGTTCAAATAAAGACAAATTGTTCAGGCTAGAAAGGCCTTTCTGTTGCTAATTAATTTAGAAGATGGTGACGTGTTTTACACAACAATACAATTCATAGTAGTACATTGATGCAACATCCCAAGTCCTCTCTCTTTTACATAATAAAATGTAAAACAAACAATGCAGACATTCCATTCACTGTTGTTTAGAATCCAGTTTTAATATTTAAATGAACCATTAAAAGCACATTAAAACATTTTCTCATTTTAGTTACAAAAATGGGTCACCTAAAGGTCTTATCATTGCATTCACAGAAGGATCTGAACAGAAGATGTCTAACCGATAAGTATTTCTTTCTTAAAAAATTCCCCACCCAAAATATATAAACTTAATTGTTTAACCAAGATATATACAGGGCATAACATCCATGGATCTTATGGTTATCAAGAAAGTTTGAGGTATACGACCAAAAATTAAAACTGACAGAAAATTTAAAAAAACAAAAAAATGATATTAAAAAAAAAAATACTTAAATAAAAAGAAGAATGAATGCCATGATTGCTTTAATACAAGCACAGAATCATAACATTAGTGGGCTATGTTGCGATACGAGAGCTGGTGAGATTCTTCCAGTTGTTTTACCTATGGTCTTGAAGGGCAAAACTGCAAATAACCTAGAGCTTTGGATGGTCAATATATACAAAGGGGATACATTATCATTAGAAATAGGGAATCGTTTGAATACTCATTTTATTTGCTTCATAACAGGTACACAGTATTTATTCATCAACAAAATATCATAATTATTTATTTCTCTCTGTCTGTCTTTATTCATTTCATTAACTTATATATATATTTTGTTACGAACATTGAAATTAAGAGCCAGATGCGATTCTGATACACATGCAAGTTTTGAAAGTGGATTCAGAAATAACAGATTGTACAAAATAATAATTACAGTTTTTTATTATCAAAATACACCTTCTTTCTTAGCACCTCTTATTTTGTTGTTTGAACAAGCACCATTGTAGTCATTTTTTTTTGTACAGCACCTGGAGAATCCAGAAAAGAGGTGTCTCTCGCCTTTCGACCTCCCTCATTTTTCTCCTGTTCACCCTTCTCTGCCACGCCTTCAAATGTCCTTCACCTTTGCTCCATAACAGTTTTAAGTCATGTGATTCTAGCCCTACAAGGGCAACAAGTATTTTTCTAGGTAATACATACATACATGGCAAGACATGTTCGCTACACCATCTTTTATTCAAAACTTGCATGTGGCATGGAAAAGGGTGGGGGGCTGGGTTGGGGGGTTTGGTGGTATCCAAAATGTCTTGACTTTCTTTCTGACCCCGCCAAGTTTTTTTTGTTTTGTTTTTTTTGTTAGCCAAGGAAGCAGACTGGACCCACTTCAAATCCAAACTTCTGGCTGGCATCTCCAAAGTCATTCAACATGACATCGATGATGGGAACTTGATCGATTTTGGGAGTATTAATCTCCATCACAGTCTTTCCGTAGCCCTTCCTCGTCTGTAAAGAGACAATGGGGAAAAAACATTAGACAGTGTGCTTTCAGCAGTCAAATACAACCTTACTGGAGCTATCAAACAAGTCCAACAAAACAATCAATGGGGCATTTACATAAGTGGCAACTATAGGGTTGCAAAATTCCAGAGACTTTTGCAAAAGTACTTGAACTATCACTATTACAGACAGGAAGTATCGAGAGGCAGCCCTTACCGCGCATCCATCTGTTAGGGCCCTGATGTAGGGGTTGTTGTCATAGGATATCTCCTCATCGTTGGATCCTAGGAATCGCAGCACCTTGTCATAGCTGTCGGTGGTCTCATCGTGCCACACCACAGACTGATGGCAGTTATAGGTGAAGTTCTGCCTGGCCGAGGCGGTCAGTAGTTTCAGGAAGGTCATCTGAACCCCGTTTATTGTTTTGCCAGCTGCGTCAACGTATGTAAACTGTTTATTTGAGGAAGGGGTGAGAGCAAACAGAAAATAGATTTAGAGGTCAGAAATTGAAGCATGGGATTGGATACAATGTACTGATTAGAAGTGTTCTATCCCAAGAGTTCTTATCAAACATCTTGTTATACAATCTCTCTCTCAGACAATGGCCAAATTGAGTCTTAAAGTGGTAGAACATTTTCCTCCTCATCCTTAAGCCTCCTTCTTCATTCCCAAAGTGTATGAAATATGAATGTGATGGGTCTGAAGAGGTCTTATATGAGAGGTCTCGATCCCTTTGTGGCTAGCAACCTGGGGTCACTTCCAGAGACACTCTTGTTTCTGAGTCTATTTGTGGCCTAACTGTCACTTCTGAAGAGCCTCTGTACTGAGAGACAGAAGACAGGGACATGGCAGAGTGGGAGCCTGAGAAATCCTTTTAGTTTAGTATTGTGGAGAGGAGACAATTATTTTGTGAGGAGAGTGGCGGAGGATGAAAGCGTGGAATCGAGTGAGCACTTACTATTTTACCCCGCTTAAATTCACTGAACCACGACCCAGGAATTTCTTTGGGCCATGAAGATATTCTGACCTGTGGAGCCAAACAAATGAAGAACATAAGTACTGACAAGAACACTGAATGCAACTGGTTCCTGGAATTGAAGAGCTGGTTCCTGGATTTCCGTTTTGTTAAGTACAATTTGCAGCTAGATACCCCTTCCCTCAGATCTTAACATACAGGAGAATCACTACAGTACAGTGCCTTGCAAAAGTATTCACCCCTGTTGGCATTTTTCCTATATGTTGCATTACAACCTGTAATTTTTTTACATGGATTTTTATTTGGATTTCATGTAATGGGACATACACAAACTAGTCCTGTAAATTTGGTGAAGGTAGTAAAATGAAAAAATAACTTTGTTTCCAAAAAATTCAAGACAATATATAACGGAAAAGTGGTGCTTTTTGGCCATCAAGGAAAATGCTATGTCTGGCGCAAACCCAACACCTCTCATCACCCCGAGAACACTATCCCCATTGTGGTGGCAGCATCATGCTGTGGGGACGTTTTCATTTTTTTGGTCTTATTTCTTGTTTGTTTCACAATAAAACATATTTTGCATCGTCAAAGTGGTAGGCATGTTGTGTAAATCAAATGATACAAACCCCCCCAAAAATCAATTTTAATTTCAGGTTGTAAGGCAACAAAATAGGAGAAGTGCCAAGGGGGTGAATACTTTCGCAAGCCAGTATAGTCAATATTTGACACCTAAGTATGTGTATATCAGTTTGTTTCTGTTTGTATACAGTTTATGTCTATACTGCATGTCTTGACAATTACAAATGTCAATTCCAACCTTTTAGTTCAATGCATCTTCAATGCATTTTGTTCATGTCTTTACATTTTTACATTTCACAGAGAATACAGTATGAATGTAAATGACAAATTCACAAGATCATCACAAAACAAGAGCAAATGGGTATTTTTGAAAGTTAGAAGTTAATGGCCAAGCAGTGAACCCATCAAACATCACCAAACATGCATCTCCCAGTCTCACAGCCTTGACTAGCATATAAATGAATACATCAGTACATTATCTAGAATTGAACAAGACTATGGCTTGACTTGACAGTACAGTATGTGCAGGTCTCTTGGAGGAAATAAAAATGCCACTCACTCCACTGGACTTCTTATCTGGGTAGATACAGGTCTCTCCTCCAGCCGTGAAGTTACAGTAGACAGAGAAGGAGTCCCCTGAGCATCCCTGGTTAGGATCTATCCAGTACTCGCCTGTGGAAAAAACCCAATGAATCAATTAAATACCTGAATCTTTAGTTCTCTCTAGTTCTACAATTCCACCAAGAACATAAAACAAAACATTTCAAAACCAAACACGTTTAACTTGAGACTTAACCCAATGGGTCCCACCACGACGCTTGCGCAATTTGGACTTCTAACCCCTTTTAAACATCATGTGTTTGTGCTACAGACTAGGTTGTATCATTGGATTCGTCTATTTCTTCTGCATCCGTTGGTACCAACGGGGGCTGAACTAGAGCGGTGTTTGTGAAACAAGTGCGGATCCTGAAGTGGCCCGGGGCCAGGTCTTTTTACAAAAACGTCTGTAGAGAATGGTTTGAGCAATCTTTTTTTATTGACAACTCATGAATGCAACTGTTTATGTCAAATTGTTTTGTGTTCTACATATTGCCCTGGTTGTCCTGACAAGAAAATGGTAAAATACTTATTTCATTGTGAGGCTAAATATGAGGGCTGGACATTCAGATAAATGAAAGTCAGATAAATGAAAAGCCGACTTTTGCTGGGGTCTCGGGACTGATAAGGTTAAACTGTGCTATGACATCTATGTGTTCAAATCATGGAAAATGAAAGATTATGTAAATACTGTAGCAAAACCATTCTACTACATGTTATACATCCACTATACTATTTTATTATCATCTTAAAGAGATAAAAAGGAATATGTTCAGCAACAACGGATCTTCAGTTTGCTTAGAAATAACTTAAAAAGGTCAAAGAAGGACCTGACATTTCTCTTGCATCAATTATGGACGGTCTGTTGAATGTTAAGTATAACCCCAATGAGGCCTTGTTCTCAGTGGTATTCACCACAGCAACACACTCTACCTGCAAAAATAGAATCTACACCCCCAATAGCACTGCTATAAAATAAGCAAACACAGTCAAAGACTGTATTGTAGTATTGTAATATTGTAATGTAATAATGCACAATGTTTTCTTTGATGTAATGTTGTATCCCTGTTTGGACCCCAGGAAGAGTAGCTGCTGCCTTGGCAACAGCGAATGGGGTTCCTAATAAACTACTAAATACTAAAGACGTCCTTATTTGGCTCAACAAAATTGCCTCCAATCACAGCCATAACATTAGCATATTACCCATGATCCCCCTCTCTGTGACTCACCGTCAGGGAACTCTGGGTGGGCGAGTTGCAGGTCTTTGCAGGTCCTGGCTGGGTTGTTCTGTGTGCCCATGGGGTACTTCATCCTCTCAATGTCCTGTTTGAGGTTGTTGAGCGAACCGAAGATGTCCTCCATGCCCTCTCCGTAGTCCATCATGGTACCTGCCGCGTCCGCCTGCATGTCTGCGTGTCTGCGGTTCTTCTTGGGAGACTGGATGGGCAGTGGCTGGATCACCTCACCAGGGGGACCCTGTCGAGCAGAGAGGAAGAAGGAAAATATTGGTACGGAATCCGATAGTGTGACATCGTATGCATCAGATCGTTTTCTAGAAATAACCCTTTTGAATTTCAGCTAATAACAGAAATGCCTTATTTTCGGTCTTATAGTGGACACCAAAGGAATATTATGTTAATACTCACAGGAGGACCAGGGGGACCGATCGTACCGGTGTCACCCTTCTGACCAGCAGGACCCTGGAAAGAACATAGAGATATAAGCATGTTGTTAACTTTGGATCTCACAAACACTCATTTTTCACCAGTTGAAACAAAGAGTGGTTGAATAGATCTTACCGATGAACCCTTAGCTCCCTTGGGACCTCCAGGACCCTGGAAGAGACAGCAAAGACACACAATGAACAAATAGCAGAGGACTATGTTTTAACATTATTGTGATATTTGAACTATGAAAGTATACTATTAATAAAACTGAGAAAGCAGGGGACAGTCTTACAGGCAGGCCTGGAGGACCAGGGGGACCGAGAGGACCTGAAGATCCACTAATACCCTGTGAAGAAGAGACCAGACATCAGTGGGATAAAGAGTGGTAGATTGCAAGAGAAACATTAAAAATCTCTAGCAGCGTTTTAATGGGTCCTGAAATGTTTATTTTCTATCTCATTGGGCTATTTTTGTGACAAATATAGCTCAACAGACGATGCCAGTTTCTCAAGCCTAAAATAGAGACAGATAGACTGAGACAGATGTTTTTTTCCCACCATTCCTCGAAGACAGAGAAAAGGGACATTACAATTTCATTAGGCTTAATCTGAAGACGTTTATCCATTCCATCTCCTTAAATCACAGAGTAAGGCTGCTGAAAGGCCGCGTCTCAAATTGCATATTCACTCAATCTGCAATGTTTATTTAAAAATGGATGAGCTCCTTAATGTGGAGCTTCATCAGGCTAGAGCCCGTTTGAGTCCTGCTTAACATTTCTAACTCCCAGAAATAAAGATGGGTTTGGAATATAGAAAAATTTATATCTGATGAGGCTGGGAGAGAAATACGACATTAACAGAATGCCACAGAATGCAGAGCATTAGAAGCACTGTAATGGACGTTACATTTGTTTTTAACGGATAGAATTCCCTTTGAAAGACTAATCCTGCCCCAAGAAGGCAAAGCTTGTATATTTGTACAGTACTGTATATGATTAATGGTCAAGTCAAGTCAGTATTAATTTAGGAATAGCATATACTCAATGCATAAGTCTATACGGTGCATTGGAGTGCTAGCTGCACAATATAAAGCAGATCATGTATCATTATAAACAACTTTCTCAGTGAACTGTAGGTGGCTGCAATCAGACCAATGGCATTGTACTTCCTGGTGGAGGGCAAATAGGTTGACGAATGGTAAGGTGATGAGGTCATTAATCACTTACGCCATCGCCCTTGCCTCCAGGAGAACCCTGGGGACCAGGCAAGCCTCGGTCTCCCTTCTCTCCCTGCTCGCCAGGGGGTCCAATCAGACCAATCAGACCTGGATGACCCTGGAGGACACACACATACACACAAAACAAGAGTCATGAGGACTGGAAAAATTTGAGAATACACAGGATACATACAGTCAAAACATTTAAAGATGATTCCATGCCTTGCATCAGTACAACCCTGCTATAACCGCACCATTCAATCAAGTGAAATACAAAATCAGCTGCAAAATATGAACATTATTCCACAAATCTGAAAGCATTTTAAACCAAACATTTTTGGGGGACTTACAAAATAATTTATCTGAATTTCTCTGTAACTGGGGACAATATTCACAACAACGATGCTGGAAAGTATGGGCACATTAACCAGTCCCATTGACTTGAAAGCATGGAAAATAGCCTAATGAAAAGCTACCCATTGTGTCCTTTTAAACCAATCCCTGTCAATCCTTCTTTCATTTTTTTTTTGGGGGGGGAAGCCATTACTGCAGTGCTATGTGCTGCATTACTGACTTTCAAACCCTTAGTCCACTGGCAGAGCTGATGCTGTGTATTAAATGGAGATGGCTACCAGCTTTCTTCAAATGTCACTTTTAGTTTACTGAGTAACATAAAAAACAACTGTATCTGCATAGTGATAAAGCATGTTTCAAATGTATTGCTGTACCGAAATAAATGGTCTGTTTGACCTTTCTAGAAGAGCTGGTTATAGGGTTCAGGTGAGGGGAGCTCTAGGTCCCATCCCAGCCATGCTCATAGTCATGGTCTCCAGCCCACTACAGGTTGAACTCCCAACCCCTTCTGGGATCAGAGAAATCAAATCAACAAGCTCTTTGGGACGGGAAATTGAGGCGAGCTCACCTTTTCACCCTTGGTCCCGGGGTCACCCTTCAGACCTGGGAGACCAGGGGGTCCCTAATTATCACAGAGAGACAAGAGGGTTAGAAATCAATTACAACACCACAGTAGAGAAAGATAGAAAGAGAAGGAGAGTGAGAGAGAGAGAGAGAGAGAGAGAGAGAGAGAGAGAGAGAGAGAGAGAGAGAGAGAGAGCAAGAGAGAGAGAGAGAGAGGACACATTATCTCTGCTCACCATAGGTCCAGGTGGGCCGTCTTGTCCAGAAGAACCAGGAAGTCCTTGTTCACCCTGAGAAGAGAAAAGCCATCCAATTATAGACCAGCATTACAGCCTGCTATAACTCTTATGGACTCATATTGATTTCATGTGCCCGGCACCATGATTAATTGCAGGAATACCACAAAAAAGTGTGTTCAAATAAACAACTGAAATGTATAGAGTACAAGCCAAATGGGACTATCGATTATTCCATGAGCACTGTTGTCATACTGCTTAAGGGCTGTTTGGTCTCTCTCTGTGTGTTTGTGTGTGTGTGTGTGTGTTTGTGTGTGTGTGTGTGATGAACGTTGGATCTCGGACTTACAACGGGGCCAGGGATTCCACGCAGACCTTCTGGACCGGGCTTTCCTGAGGGCCCCTGTGGGCCGACAGGGCCAGTTTTACCTGGGGGTCCCTCGGCTCCAGACTCACCCTGTAGGAAGGGACAAGATTGTCACAATGACATAACTCTAGATGACGTCCACAAGTCATTTCCATCTGGTTTGGTTGATCAAAATAAACACAAGTGATACCATGTAAACAGGATCTCTTTATGTGTTCATATTTCTGATCTACAGTTCATTGAAAAACCCTAACAACAGATGGTAAAATAACAGGGTGCTTATCAACTTGACATCCTTGCTGTGTGTACTGTCAAAGAGCCATACCTTCTGCTGTTTTGAGCTTCAGATGAATGTATCCTAAGCTAGTGTAGCTAACTGTTATGTTGATGCATTCCCCTGCTCACAAAGTGGCATGGCTAACATCTGAAGGGTTTGATAACAACGGGACACTGCAATTGATTTCAAACAACAATCCCCAATCTAAACCACAGCTTTACAAAAGAGTGGGATATGTTTTTGAGATGAAATTGGATAGCGTTCCACGGGTAGGGCTATACACAACTGGCAAGGGGGAGGGAGATGAGGGGGAGAGAGATGAGGGGAGAGGGAAGGGAGATGAGAGGGAGATGAGGGGGGGGGATTAGGGGAGAGGGAAGGGAGATGGGAGGGAGATGAGGGGAGAGAAGTGGGAGATGAGGGGAGGGAGATGAGGGAGGAGGGGGATGAGGGGGAGAGGGGGAGGGAGATGAGAGGAGGGGGATGAGGGGAGAGGGGAGGGGGATGAGGGGAGAGGGGAGGGAGATGAGAGGAGGGGGATGAGGGGAGAGGGGAGGGAGATGAGGGGAGGGAGATGAGAGGAGGGGGATGAGGGGAAAGGGGAGGGAGATGAGGGGAGAGGGGAGGGAGATGAGGGGTGAGGCATGGGGGGCTAGCTGGAGTCTGGAGTTGCTGAGGCTGCTCTCTGGGTAAAGGCTGAATTGATTTTCTAGGTTACCTTGGCGCCCTTCTCTCCTTGTCTGCCCTCTGCACCGGCAGTTCCTGGGGGGCCCTGGGGAGGACGAGAAGACACGCTTTAGCATCACACAGCAGTGTGTGTGTGTGTGTGTGTGTGTGTGTGTGTGTGTGTGTGTGTGTGTGTGTGTGTGTGTGTGTGTGCATGTCTATTAGTCAGTGTATGTGTGTGTGCATGTGCAGAGTCAACAACAACATTGTGAGGTCAGTAATTCAGGTGAATTGTAACAATTTGTTACTGTGACATGCATCCATTTGACATCAATCACACACACACCAGTAAGAACCCAGTGTTGTGTTTGCAGTGCAATATTTCAATGGCTTCAACTGAGTAATGAGGAAAGGAGACGCTGCTTGAACAAACTCTTGGCTACAGGGCTGTACTAATAAAAATAAACCAAAGACAAAGTGGAATCAAACACCGCAGACATAATATCAACTCAAAACTCAACTCTAAAATAAGTGATTCCTGAATGAGAGGTTGATAATCACATTAAGAAATCCATCAGCCAGTCCATATCTAGTAATTCCACTTTTTCCCCCCAAGAACATTCTCATTCAATCCAACACTGATGAAAACTGTATTAGTGATCAAATGTCCTTGAAAAGTCTACCTCAATCTTCCAGAAAGTTTGTAAAGATCTGTTTGACTGAATGAGAGTGGACATGCTTTGTGAACTGAACTTCTTACTGAACGACCTGACACACACACATGCACACACACCTCTCCCTCTCTAGTCTCCAATCACTTCAAGGTTTTCCAGTTCATCTGCTCTCTCTGGCCATCTCTCCGAGGCCTAAAGCTGTCTCTTTCAACTACACAAGGGGTCCTCACATCAAAACCACATGCAGTCCACAGAGAGGACCCACTCTTCTCTGATCAGACAGTATGGGAAGGCAGGGGTTGGCAGCAGGGCAGCAGGGATGTTTTGACTGACTGCCCATGTAGAGATGTGGTCAAACAGCGCAGCATCTGCATCGTTTCTCTCCTTTTATCCTCGCTGGAAGTGTTGTGAACAACGGGTCAAAAAGTGTCTGTTTATTTCTGTCAGTGAACATGATGCTGCTACCAAACGTCTAAATCCCTACTGCATCTGACATGTATGTTGTCTGTTTATTTCTGTCAGTGAACATGATGCTGCTACCAAACGTCTAAATCCCTACTGTAGCTGATGTGTATGTTGTCTTTTCTATGGGAGGTATAAATACAGCAGCAGTCTAAAAACTAATTAAGTACTCTAATCTGTAAATGATATGTCACTGTTTATATCATTTTCACCATGAATATCTATAGAGAAAATCATACCATTAGAGCGAATGAACGCACCGATTCCGTATGTGTTTCTGTTGTTCATTAAGAAAAACTAGATTTTAGTCTTGGAGGTGTGTTTTGATATGGCAGTTACTGATGTTTGTCCCCCATGAGACACTGTAGGAACAAAGCCAGTATCACTTCTTCAAAATAGTCAGAATAAATCTATGATAACTTTTTTTTTTTAAACTGTTATTCATTTTGACGTTTTTGACAAAGATGTTTTAGTTGGGCAATTTTACATCTAGCTAAGGTGTTTGGTGCAGTATTTCTCAAGTAAAATAAATTGTGACGTGTTGTTTTATGTGAACAAAGTCAGATCCGCTGCACTGATGGCAAGATCTGTCTCACTGTCTGTGTTCTGTGCTAGGATTGGATAGAGCACAACCACGGCAGCTGTGTATCCTGTTTTAGTGGGCAAGTGTCCAAATCAAAACCCAACCCTCAAGTATGTCATGACGAAGACACTAACAAAACTCTGTTTTGGACGAGACTGACTTTATGACCAAAATTATCCTTTTTACACTTTGTAGTCAATTTTGACACTAGGATAACTGTTTCTGACTAATAGGCCATTTTCTATCAGAGCAGTTGTTTATGGCCTTCAGTTGCACTTTAAGATAAAAACAAATAAGATACAAATAAATAAAGAACTGCTCTGCTGCTAAATGGATTCGGACAGTGCCTGTAGGAGCTGGAGAGAGATTTCAGCTGCATTTTAAATTGCTATGGGCAAACTGCAGAGGAAGCAAAAACACCCTACAAAGTTAAATGCAAAACAACTCTACCCCCAAATGACTGATTCAGAGGAGCAGAATGCCTGGGAGTTGCAGAAGTCGTTCTATGTTACACTTTTTGGGGGAAGGCGATTAAATAACTATGATGATGAAATAGCAGTTTTCCTAACATAATCCCTTGGCCATTAGGAGCTGCATATGCTGATATGATGTTAAATACTCTGAATGTAAATTCCATCAAGCACATTGTGAAAGCAAATGGCGTTTTTGCTACTGCTGTAAAATGCACATATTTTATGCTATTGGCCTTTGCCATAACGCTGTTGCAGAAGATAGCTTGAGATAGTAATTTCTTTGAGAAATTGGGACAATAATTGCTAATTTTCATTTAAAGAAAGAATTTAACACCCGACAAAAAGAAGTTAATGCACTATTTTGGATTCACTAATGTCGGCTCCCTTCAACTAACATTAGCCTACCACAAATGATTTTTCACTTAATTACTTCCCAGGGAACGTCAAAGAGAATTTATATGGCAGTGAATTTATACAGTAAACGTCAGATATGATGGCCCTCGCTGGACAAAGGTCATCATCATAATAAAAGTATTTCAAATTCAATCTAAAACGTTATCTTTGCCTTGGAGACCACCAAAATGTCCAAAACGTCAATTTTTACTGGGTGAACTGAGTCAGTGGCGGCTGACCTGACTGTGTAATGGCATCTCACTACACTACAGCCATTCAATCTAATGTTACTAGCGCCATGCCTTTGTTTGGCCGTGGCTGTCAGTCAAACTAGCCTAGATCAATAGTGTGTCAGGGGAGATATCTCTCTTCCCTCGGCTAGACACAGGTAAATTAGTTTTGGGCCTGACGCTTTTTTTTGGTCTTTTTTTCTAAAGCCTATTTTCAATTTCTCACCGAGAAAAAAAACTATTTCAGACATCAAGCCCTTCATTTCTCTATGGGTTTTGAGATATCTTTCATTTCCATGTACAGACGGCTCAGTGGGCTTTGAGATATCTTTCATTTCCATGTACAGACGGCTCAGTGGCCCTGACCCTGCAAATATCACACATTGTTTTTCTCACCCACTTTTGATGAGAATGAATCATGCAGCTTCTCTGGGGGGAAATTGAGTTGTAGAGTTTGGAGTTATTGTTCAGCGTAAAGAATTCTCACCTGAGGACTATAGGTTTAATAAACAATGACTGGGTGCATTCCATTGTCTGGTTTTATAATAAGATTCATATATTTCATAGAGCTATGTCAATAGGTGTTGGATATGGGACAGTGAGGTTCAGTCACACAATCAAATCTAGGCCAAATGGGGCTTGATCAATGAGTTACGATTAAACGCACAATATAACGTACAATATTGTTCAATCTTTTATCTAATAGGGGTAAAATCTGCAGTATGATGTCATTTCATATAACAAACAGTGATGTTGACGTCTGTGGTGTGTTGGTGGTGATGATGACTATGATGATGAAGATGTTTAGACTTACTCTCTTGCCGGGAGGACCAGGTGGACCAGATTCACCAGATGGACCAGGAGGACCCTGGGATGGACAGAAGAAGAAGAAGAAGAGAAGAGAGGAGGTAAGAGAGTTAGGGGTCTTTATGCACATTAACAGTGTGTTTTGCATAAAGGTATATTAACATGATACAGTATATAGTCATATTCTTTGAAATAGATTGTACAAAACCACCATTATCCTTACAAATAGAGAAATGTGTGACTGCATATTGACATTAGACAAACTGATATCTATTTCTGTAGTCACACACTGTAGTCTGAAATATCACGTCTGTTTTCAGAACCTGCTTCACCCAATTATCTCAGTTAATTGGAAGCAATCATAGCACATTTAGGTTTGCATAACCAAATATTTGACGTACAAATAATGAGAAAGTGGAGAATACAACTTTGAGTGGCTAGGAATTTACAGAATTATTCAACTGTGTGATGTGGTTTATATTGAAACTCTACACTGTTAATCAGAGAATGGGAAATGCATGTTCTCCCTTTCAAAGTCAAACGTCACTGAGCCATGAAAAAACTTTATTATACTTTAACTTCAAATGACACTTTACATAACACCTTACTCTGAGCCAACTCACACACATACACAAACATGACCTCATTCCTATTGCATTTAAAGAGTCAATTAAAGTTTCCTTTTATTTTCCTGGCACTTGCAAATACCATTTACATCCATTAATGTTAATAAGTATCGTAATTCACACACCCTCACAAAGGCTTGAATCATCTGATTTGTTGTTCATATTTCTAATTAAAATCTATAAAATGTATAAACAGACTCATATACTGTACTAGACCTTAAGAAGTAAATTATATGTTTCAATGTTCACTATTGCAGGTACTTATTCACAAATAAAAGTTTATGGGAATGTACTACAGGCCAAGCACACAAGGGACTTTAGCGGTTATGCTAAATGGGATAGGCTAGGCTATTTGTATAGACCATTAGGACAGACTAATAGTAAATGGTGATGGTAATGCGCTCATACAGTCGCCCGCTATCATGCTGCATACTGTAAACCAGAGCTATATAGTCATGCAGAGTTTTCAGTCCCCTTGTTGTTGTGTTAATGATATTTATGACATATGGACTTACAGGCTGACCAGATTCACCATCCTCTCCTTTCTCTCCCGCAAAGCCATCAGTTCCCTAGGGAGAAGAGATATGAACATGTGAGCTGGATCACCATGATCTAATTCCACTACAGATTACCAGTACTGGTAGCACTTGGATTCACTTTCCACATACAGTACACGCTTGAACTGGCATTACAACAACGATGAAGACTGACGCTGAAGGTAATGGTAATAGTGGGATCTTTACAGTTGAATTAGTTGTATAATGATATAATAAGGCATTCATCAAAAGTGTGATACTTACAGCAACACCAGCTTCACCGGGTGGACCAGGGTCTCCAGGGAAACCAACCGGCCCCTGGAAGGTGAAGGAGAGTCAGGAGAACAAATACAACACCAGTATAATATTATCTATAATATACAAAATACTACAATCTTCAACATAAGTGGCCAAGACCTACACCATCTGGTTTGTTTCTAATGGTTGTCATTAATCTGATGATGAGAGGTGGAGCTTTTTCAATAGACCATATCAACTGTCAAAGGCACTTTGTGTAACCTTGGCTCCCTGATGCTACAGACAGTAATGTCAGCAAAGCACTCACCACAGTTCAATACCACATTCAGAAAGAAAAAAAAGACAATCTGTCCTAATAAAAGGGCTTTTTAGCTCTTAGAACGTGGCCTAAAATTAAATAAACCGCCCAGAAGCAATCAAGGCAATTTCTTTTAATTCACATCTCCAAAGTATCTCATATAAACGTCTGTGGTTCTATCACTGAGACCAGATCTCTTATGAGGGTAGAGACTGAAGCTTACAGGGTTGCCTTTGGGGCCATCATCTCCAGGGGGTCCTTTGGCGCCTGCGGGTCCGGCAGCTCCAGGTGGTCCTGCCTCTCCCTTGTCTCCTCTCTCTCCTTTAGGTCCCTGTTGAGAACAACAGATACCATCAATACTCAGGGGGATACTGGATACTGAGCAGCAGTAGTGTGTATTGTTAGAAATGGAGGTAGGTAAGTGGTTACGCCACAGTTAGGCGTTATATTTCACTTATATTTCACATATTGCCGTCACTCTGTGGAGCAGAGGTGGTAGTTGTACTGGTCATGTTGTTTATATGTACTGAGTAAGGTATCTCTTGATGCTCAAGGTGATGCTTACTGACACCTGAGCTATTTAAGCCCCTATTTAAGCATGATGTGTTACTACAGAGTACCAGCATATTTCACGGAATTCAGAAACTGCAATAAAAATTATTATAAGGAAAATAGTGATTAATATCTTGTTTCTTTTCATGAGAACATTTCAAAAGCTCTACAGCAAAACCTTTATCGAGGGCCATTTTCTGCATTAGTTCTGGTTATTATCCATGCTACTCAGAGTTCTCCTCTCCCCTGCTATTCCAGACTGACCATCTTTTCATTCTGTTGTTGTGCTCACATCATGCTAATGATAAATGGAGATGACAACCCATCAATACACTATGATGGATTAACTCTGTAGCAATTACCTATCAAATCTTTACAACTACCTCACAGGGTTAGGTAGGTGTCAACCAAAACACCTCTATGATAACATTCCGGAATGATTTTGGTCATGGTTCCGGAATGTACAGAGGATTCCATTGGAACTAAACTACCTCAGTTAAACAGCCATCTTAAAAGGTAGAAGTTGTGTACTTTATTTTCAGACCGTCAGTGGTTGTGATATTGAAATGTTTAGTAGCTAAGTGGAGTCCTGGAGTAAGGTACTAGTAGCCATTGTTTCAGAGCTGAGACTGCTGTGTTCATATGGCTGCAGTAATAATCTGTTAAGAGTCTGGGAAGTGATTCAGCTTGGCAGGGCTGTGTTACCATGGAGCGTTGGCCAGCAACACACTGAGAACCACGCTGTGACACTGGCCCATCAGCAGCAACACAGGACCAGCAATTACTACCACTCACATCACTAAAAGGACTTTGCATGTCTACGTGTTGTGGGACAGTACACTGTGTGTTTATGTGGGGTGTTATGAACTAATACATAATAATAATCATTGTCCTGGTAATAGGGAAATACATAAACACAGGATGCCTTGGATGATGGATAATTATATGAATGTAGACGCAGACACACAGACACACTGAGACAGAGACTTACTCCAGTTCCGGGCTCTCCAGGGGTTCCTGGGTTGCCAGCTTCACCGTTTTCACCCTGTAAATGAAAACACCATGTTAGAATCTCTGCCAAGATAGACACCCTTATGAATACATTATCTACTAGATTACATTATCCACTTGAATCTAGATGACATTATACTGTTGTCAAAACAGGCTCATAGGCTCTAAAACCCTATGAGTAGGCTAACAATAAATGTCATAGTGGGTGCTGAGTGTCATTATGTTTTAGAATCTCTCTCATGATATACATTAATAGACATTAATGATTACATTATCATGTTCTCAAAATACGGTGGTTGTCAAACCACAGGGCTCTCAAACATGGTGCATAACAAATATCATTTGTAGTGGTTGATGCTAAGTGTCATTCTGTTGAACTCCTGAGATCCATTAGCATAGGTGTGATGGCATTAAGGCTAGTCAGAGTGCTCTCTCAAAGTGATGGTAACCTTCCATGGATATGTTTCATATTCTGGAGTCGTCATTCCGTTGCATTAAGTATTGATGGTGGGGGCCGGCTGCCAGATGGCACTAAAATGGAGGAGTGGTGTTGGAACTGTTGTAAAATAGGCATTAATAGTGTCAGAGCACTAACTCAGACAAAGGCTGCCATAGGGAATTAATGGAGTCCTGGAGATAACATCTCTGGACTGGGGAGAGAGGAAGGAAGGGGTAGGTGGAGGGACGTTGGCAGGACACAGACTCCGGACTCCCAAATAAGGGCCAGGGGCTGTCTTGTGATGGGCGCACGCTCTCACCTTTTCACCCACGCCTCCCATGGCACCCACACCACCGGGAGGACCTTGTGCACCCTGACAGGAAACAGAGAAGAAGAGAGAGGAGTCAGCATTCATTACCTCAGGAGAGACAGATTCTCCCTGTTATCATAACTGGTAGTTAGAGCTGGTGGAGTCATAGTACAGTATTTCACATTATGCCTCTGTCTGGGTGACATTTGGTAATGTGACGATGAGTTATTGGAGATAAAAGATTGATGTGTGGTACGTACATCAGCTCCACTAGGACCCTGAGGACCTCTGGGACCAGGTGGACCGGGGGGACCCTGGAAAGAGACAACACGAAGTGACAGGGTCAAAACAGGAAGTGAGCTCAAGAGCAAAACTTATTTCTCATTTCGATAAAAGATACAAATACATAGAAAACGATTTATTTGGAAAGTGATACAAATTGTTTTAATTATGATTATCTGCTCACCATCGGACCGACATCGCCGTTCTCACCCTTCTCGCCTGGAGGTCCAGGAAGACCCTGAGGGCAGACAGAAACAAACAAGCACACTTTGAATTATTCTGGTTTAGCTTGAGGAAACATGCATGTGTAATTGAAAAACTAAGCAAAACCTTTAAGAATAGTTTTAGCAATTGATGCACTTTTAAAATTCTACCAGATTTATGGTTTATGATGATTAATTGGACAGTAATGTATTGGTGATGGCTGTATTGTAGCTTTTAGTGCACCACTGAGGTAAACGGTATACTGTGAACACACAGTTAGCAGAGCCCATCGCTCTGTCAGTTTCCACAGCAAGGGAGTGATAGAAACCAGATGCCATTCAGTGTCTTAATTAATTAATCACTAATTAAACATGATGTCCAATCTCTCAGTTCTCTAATTCTACAGCTAAAGTTGTGACCCTCTCTCTGTCACAAAGGGACACCAGGGAGACATTTGTTCATGGTGACAGACACAAACTGCCATAAAGGAGAAATTACTGTCTTCACACTGTGTGTCTATGTGACCAATAGTGAGTTTATGGGAAACTAAATAAGGCAACAAGATTAAGACAACATTGAATGTCAAGTATTTCTCTATGGCAAAATGGAGGTAATGTGTTCCTAACCAAAAACCCAGACATGGACCCCTCGTTAATTTCCCTGCATGTTAATTGGACTATGTGGTTGAGGCGTCATATGTATGTTTGATCCCTGACATTTCAACCTTAATTGCTTTGGTCATTCCCGATTCAAGCTCCTCCACTATTCAAAGGCAGTGTGTCTCTGTCGTCACCATGACGAGCGAGGACAAAGATCTCATTTTATCTGCTATTTACTCTCTGTTACAACAACCTATCTTCCTCAAATACCTATGCCGTAGGGAGGAAGCTGAGGCTGAGACAGACTGTTTGTGTACGTGTATGTGTGTGTGTGTGTGTGTTTGAGCATGCATCTGTGTGTCCGTGTGTGTAAATGTGTCCATGCGCATGTCAGTGTGTATGTGTCCGTGCATGTGCAAGTCCGTGAGTGTGTGTGTCTCTGCATGCTGATTTGTCTCCCTGGAGTAGAAATCTCATCAGAACGGAGGTCTCCTGAGTCAGAGATCGTTAACAGGAACACTAATTATGCACCACAGAGTGGAGAGAGGAGAGTGTGTCCAATGGCCTACTGTCTATTGGAAGAGGTCAGTCCACACAATTAATGAAATAGCCATGGAAGTGAATTACGCTCAATTAAAAGTTAATTGAATTGAATAGCCGGGAAGATTGCAACTTGAGACTAGCGGGCATAGTCTATATAATTCCATCAAGACAATGACCCGGGTTTAATGAACAGCTAATTCATTTTGCTCATAAAGACAGTCACTGTACTGTACCACGGGACTCCCTTACGTTGATGATTCCCTTAAGTTGATGTTTCCCTTACATTGATGATTCCATTATGTTGATGATTCCCTTACATTGATGATTCCCTTACGTTGATGAATCCCTTACGTTGATGCTTCCCTTACGTTGATGCTTCCCTTACGTTGATGCTTCCCTTACGTTGATGCTTCCCTTACATTGATGCTTCCCTTACATTGATGAGGTAGATAGAAACTCAGGAGAACACCTAACCATATCACTGCTTTACTATACACATCAACCACATTACCTTTACATTTAACACAAACTAACTTAGTATATATTTTTTCAAATTGTACATAATGTAAAACAATAGGAATCATCTCTATGCTCTTTAGTTACTGAAACATCTAGAGCGGGGAAACTAAACCAAACTATACAAAACTGATCATTAACCTTTGGCATTTCATTACAAAAGGACTGTGGGTCAGAAGACAGTGCATTGTCTTCTGACATCTGTGCTAACCCACAGTCCCATTTGTTGGAAACGGACCCTTTTATCAACCTGTATTAAAATACCACCATTCAAGACCAAATAGAAATCCTTTTGTATTTAAATGTTTTGTGAGGTCAGAGCGCTCGGATCAACCCTACTCATTAGCCAGAGTGTCCAATGTGCGCTCTGAACGCTCTGAGGGCGAAACACTCTGAATTTACGAACGGACAATCTGACAATGTTCTGAATTTACGAACGACCCAGAGCACACTCTGACACTCCAGAATGAATTTACAAACCCAACCTAAGACTCACAGAGAGAATGGATGCATCAAATAGTTTGCATCAATACCAGTGGGATCCATGGTTAAGTATGTGTGTGTGTGTGTGTGTGTGTGAGGGGGTTACTTATTGCAAAACCTATACAATATGTGTTTGTGCGTGAATGTTTTTCCCTGGAGTACAGGTGATGCTAGTGTTTCAGGGTGAGTTTGGGGTTCCCCACCCACCTGCAGACCAATGGGACCAGGGGGCCCGGGGAAACCTCTGGATCCTTCATCTCCCTTCTGTCCGAACATCCCTTGCTGACCTCTGGGACCGGGCTCTCCATCACCTCCCTGAGGACACAGTAACCATGTTAACACACTGATGGAGCTACTGGCAAAGCAATACACTGGATGTACAGCATGTAGCTAACAGCACAGTACAGCAATACACTGGATGTATGTAGCTAACAGCACAGTAGTATAGAAACACACTGAATGCATGTAGCTAACAGCACAGCTAACCCGACTGCAAAGGAATTTGAATGAGGATAGCATGTATAGCTGAGTGTCTCCCAAATGGGGGCTAAGGTGGGTCCAAGGCTGGACAGAGACAGAGATACTCACTGCAGGTCCAGGAGCACCGATGGGACCTTGGAGACCAGCTGGACCAGGAGGACCCTGTTCACCCTTGTCTGCTTTGCTTCCCTTCTGACCTGGCTCTCCAACCTCTCCCTGGGACACACAGGACACACATCACACACAGGACACACATATCACATACAGGATACACACACATAGGACACACACATCACACAGGAGGACACACATGTCACTTGTACCTGACATTTCTACAATAACATCTACTTTAAAATGCCAACCTCGTACAGAACATTTTAACATTTAGAAACAAACTGTCAGAGCATTGGCAAATTAGTTCATTACCTGCAGTGAAAATCACTAGAGCAAAGACGCAGAAATCAGTTGAAATTTGGATTCAACTTGTGTGTAGATAGGATACATGCGATTTTAAATACAAGTGATAGATGGTGTTGGAGATTAGTGGACAAGTCCATTTAAAGCTCTACTGTGACATATGTTTGGCAGCTCAATAGATTGGCTGGATCGTAACCTTCTGGGAAGAAATTATAGCTGGAGATAAAACAGCCACAGTTTTTCACTTTTATATCTCTTCTAATTACATTTAGTTTGACGATTGGTTATGATGATGGATATGCAGACAAAGACAGAGAGAGAAGGAGAGAGAGAGAGAGAGAGAGAGAGAGAGAGAGAGAGAGAGAGAGAGAGAGAGAGAGAGAGAGAGAGAGAGAGAGAGAGAGAGTAGATAGAGTATAGAGACAGATAAACAGAGAGAAAGTAGAGAGACAGAGAGAGTAGAGACGTATTTACAGTGCAGATGGTCCGTGTTTGATTCATGTGTAACCGCTGATGAAGATTGATAAGCGATCTGTTTTACTCAAAAAATGTGGCCCAGATTTACAGTAAAGAGAGTCAGAGAAAGGGAGGGCGAGAGAGAGAGAGAGAGAGAGAGAGAGAGAGAGTAGATAGAAAAAGTAGAGAGAGAGTGAATGAGAGAGAGAGAGCGAGAGAGCGAGAGAGAGCGAAAGAGGTCCTGGGCCTGGTCTGGACTAAACCAGATGGGAAGGGTAGGGTACTAACCTTGTCACCGTCCTCTCCGGGTGGACCTTGAGGTCCGGCGGGGCCAGGCAGACCCACTGGACCTTGGACTCCGTCCCGACCAGCTGGTCCTTGGGGACCTTTCTCACCAGGCCCTCCCTTCTCTCCAGCAGGTCCTGGGGGCCCCTGAGGGCCAGTTCTACCAGATAAACCGATGGGGCCAGCAGATCCAGCAGCACCTCTCTCACCAGGGGAGCCCTGCGATGGAGGGGAAGAGGGAGAGAAATAGAGGGAGTGAGAGAGATGGAGAGAAAGGGGTTGAACACACTAAAGATCAAGATCAAGGGAAGATGCTCATTCAGAGTTCAGAGTTCATGTGGGGATGAAATCATGTATAATATATCTACATTATAAAGCAAGAATGAATCACAGGATTCTCCATTAGGAAGATGTGTCTAACAACTACACTGTGTTCCACCGTTAATGGGTTCTACTTCTTGGAAAATATACACTTTCTTCTCAGAAGTACTCTATTTTCCATTCAGTATAAAACACAAGAGATACTCCTCGAAAGCAAAAACAACAACATAACCCAGGTTATTTCAGGAGGGGGGGGGGGGTTCGCTGTTAGCCACTTATAGCCATCGCTCTTCTTGTTCTGGAACCATTACCATTAGCTAGCCTCTCCTCTCGGAGCAGAACAGAGCAGCAGGTCTCAGACAGGAGACATTATCATAGATGAGAAAGGGAGGAGGGAGGGAGGGAGGGAGGGAGGGAGGGAGGGGAGGGAGGGAGGGAGGGAGGGAGGGAGGGAGGGAGGGCAGGGAGGGAGGGAGGGAGGGAGCGAGGGAGCAGGCTTGCAGGCAGTCTTAATCTAGCCCAGAGGAGTGATCTGACTACTGAATGTGGGACTGACTCCAGAGGTCTTCAGGGCTCTTCTCTTCACATGCTGCCTCTGCCTGGCACATATAAACCTACTATTTCTACAGGGAGGGAGGCTGTTGGTGTCGTCTGGAGCTCAGCTAGTGTTAATGGATAGGGTTGTGTCCCAACAACACTAATGACTTGGGGTGTGTCCCTATACCCTTAAATACCTTGTTTTTCATGTCTCCTTTCCTCAGTTAATTATTAAAAGGGGAGAAGTATAGATAGCCTGTGCATCCACTAGATTGCTGATACCTTCAATGTCCTCTCAAATCAGGTAATGAAGGGAAGGAAGCAAGGAGAGAGCTGTAGACTGCTGTAGAGAGTTAGGGCACATCCTGTGTAGCTCAGTGGTGGCACTACAGTGGCAGGTTGGGAAGGAGAGGGATGTGTTGTAGAGTGTTGGGACACATCCTGTCTGACTGGCTGTGTGTAGCTCAGTGGCGGTGGTGGCAGGTTGGCACGGAGATGGAGGTATTTAAGATTATTGGGACACATCCTATCTGACTGGCTGTGTGTAGCTCAGTGGCGGTGGTGGCAGGTTGGCACGGAGATGGAGGTATTTAAGATTATTGGGACACATCCTATCTGACTGGCTGTCTAGCTCAGCGGTGGCGTCAATGGAGGTGTTGTAGAGTGTTAGGACACACCCCATGTGTGTCTGGCAGTGGCAAGTTGTGAGGTCTACTCTCAATCGTGACACATGGCATGTGGTGTCTGGGTGGTCAGACAGCGTGATGAGTCAGTATGGAATGGACACGCTAGGCTACTCGCTACACGCTCCCATTCACCTCACAGGCCGGGAGCAGAGTAGAGCGGATTGGATTGGATTGCAGACGGGCTGGCAGCAAACAACCACAATCTCAATTCTACTTCCCGCATGACCACTCACGTGATGAATTTCTAGCTGATGTGTGGCGCTAAGAGATTGCAAAGTCATACAAACACTTGCTTCCAAAAGAAGGCTATGCATTGGAATCATTGCAATATAGAAATATGTTATATTGAATTAAGTTCATATTTGTATGCAAATCATGTTTTTCTCACAATGCCAAATTCAGACACTTCACATGTCCTGTCTACACTTTCAGCCCACTGTCAAGTCATTTAAAGAGCAATTACACTGGGACAATCCTCATCTAGCATTCTAGAGAGAGAAATCTGAAGATTGACATTTTTGTCCTAAAAAGTTTTGAAGACACTCCAACTTTGAGTCTGTCACCTTAAACCAACCAGGCACCTATGTCGAGACGTCAAGAGAAAGCAATAACAAAATCAGAACCCCCAAAGTTATCATTGGAAATTGGTGGGATCCTGTCTGTCTGTTCTTCAAAGGAATCAAACTGCCATCTAGTGTTGGGAGTCATTATTGCAGGATCCCATAGAACACTGCATTATAGAAAAGCTGAATATTGATCCTAGACTAATATCTACCTCCGATATAACCAAAACAACATGGTAAGAACAGCTAGGCTAATGCACTGTGTTGCAGTTCTATCATTGACAGTGGTAGGGAAATATCCCCCCAATAACCCTGATATCTAAAGACTCCCTGAAACCTGGTGAAACATCCCCTTCACATTAACAACAGACAGGCAGGTAGGTGATGGTAGGTGACAGGGAGATACTTACCACGGGGCCAGAGGGACCCTGAGGTCCTTCTCCTCCCTTCAAACCAGCTGGACCCTGGAAGGAATGAGTAGAAGAGAGATGGATGGTTAGAGTGATATGTCAAAAGAAACACACAGCCTGAAAGACTGTGTTTGATGTCCCCATAAGTCAGTCAGTCTGTCAGTATTGAGTGGTATAACTCCTGTCCCAGACAGACATTGAAGGGAAACTGTGAAGTGACACCTTGGGGAGTCAGTCACCACTGATCTTAATGGGAGAAAAGGTGGGTGTTTGTTGTGGCAGGGTTTTTTTCTCCACTACCCAGGACAGGTATTTATTAGGCCATATTTCCCCCTCATGCACTTTCTCATCAAAATAACTGGTGAAATAAACATCTGTGTGTGTTTGTGTGTGCGTGTGTACACTCCAGTGTGTGTGTGTGTGTGACTGGCTCCCTAACCGTCCTGCAGCACACATGGTGGTATTAGTAATGAGTCTTGGGGTGTTGCAGTGAGAGAGTAAATTACACCACTAGAAAACAATCAGGGGTAGCTGCTTGCCTGCTGAGACTGACCTTGACTTAGTCTGGAACAATGGCCCTATACCGCCTTTCATTCCCCCAGCCTAATCGCTAACACTCCTCCTTTAATAATTCATTTAGTAAATAATTCATACAACAAAACAACTAACTTTCCCCCCAAAAGTGGTTGCGGAAAAAAAAACGGTCCCAGAGGCTGGGTGCATCCTAAATGACACCTTATTCCCTATTTAGTGCACTACTTTTAACTAGGGCCCATAGGGAAAGGGTGCCATTTGGGACACAGTCAGAGTCTTTGGGTTGAATCAGGGGTTTTGTAAAGTGACCCAGAGCTATATTAAACTACAATTCTCTGCTGCTACTTTAGCAGAGGTTAAAACTGAGTGGTCTGTTGGTGTGAAGCCTATTCAGGGGGATGTATATCTGTTCATTTGTAACACGTCTCTTTGAGTTTCCCTGCAGTGGTGGTTGGGTGACGTCCCCCTCTATGTTTCTAATGAGACGAATACCTCTGTATAGGCGCTGGTTCATTTGTCAGGGGTGGTGGGTGGAGGGGGGTGGTCTGTCAGTCTCTGTCAGTGAATATAGGGGGAACCTGTAACGGATGGAGGCGAGTTGCAGGTGAGGTGTTTCTTACCGACGCGCCGGGAAGACCTCTCTCTCCTGGGAATCCTCTTAGACCAGCAGGACCATCTTTACCAGAGGCTCCTTGGGGACCAGGGTCTCCCTACAGACACACAAATCAAATCAAATCAAAGTGTATTTGTCACATACACATATTTAGCAGATGTTATTGCGGGTGTAGCGAAATGCTTGTGTTCCTAGCTCCAACAGTGCAGTAGTATCTAACAATTCACAACAATACACAGCAGAGGACAGAGTGAGAGGTATCCAGCTGCACCATGTTACATGCTACCCTCTTTTTCCATCTTTTAATCTCCCTTCTACCCTGTTCATTTCACTTCCATGCTATAGCTAATATTATCTGGTGAAAGAAGAGTAAAACTAAAACTAAACTTTGTATTCTGATGGTTTCCCTTTGACATCATGATGACAGAAGGAATTTTCTGGATGCCATCATTACCGTACTTCAAACGTTGTTTTAAGTATTCATTTTGAGCTGATGCATTAGTTCTCACAGCATCAAATATATCACAGCACCGTTTTCTTATTCTGATAATGATCTACGCTATGAACATCATAAAGCTCAGGTTTCCTGAATAATGGTTGCCCCATTCTGCATCATTTCAAATGCAAAACGGATAGAAAACAATTAGCCAAGCTCTATAATAATGCAGCCCTAGAGGACAACAAGCTGAGAGACTGTAAACAAAAACAAAAACAAAAGCAGCCAACAACAGCAGCAGTCGTATCAGGATGCTGGGCTGTGTCCATGGGTTACAATTATAAGTCCCCTCTGCTATCCCCATGACAGACGACTCAGAGCAATTACTATGAGACATCATAAATGAGTAGTAGCATGATGGGCAGTGGTCTAGTTTTTTGGACTGTTTTTGTATTGTTGGTCTGAAGTTGGTATTTCTGCTAGCTGGGAGAGAGAGAGAGAGAGAGAGAGAGAGAGAGAGAGAGAGAGAGAGAGAGAGAGAGAGAGAGAGAGAGAGAGGGAGAGAGATAAGAGAGAGATCGATGATGACGATGTCAGCTCTTTCCACTCTCTCTCTCTCCTCTCTCTGCTTTCTCTCTCTTCTCGCTCTCTCTCTCTCCTCTCTCTATGCTCTCTCTCTCTCTTCTCTCTCCCTCCCTCGCTCTCTCTCTCTCTCTCTCTTCTCCTCTCTCTCCTCTCTTCTCTCCTTTTGCGCTCATTGGCTCGCTAAGGTTTTTAAGAGGATTTGACCTCCTCTGCCTAGCCCTCTCCCTCCCTCCCTCCCTCCCTCCCTCCCTCCCTCCCTCTGGAGTGTCCCAGCAGTATTACTGATGCGTAGGACCTGGTGGTGATGGGAAGCTATAGAGCCTGAGTGGCAGGAGGGTTGGAGTTAGCCGATGGAGTTGATTAAACTGTCTCCTTCCAGGGAGGAGGTTAAATGAAAGAAGGAAACAGAGGGGCTGGCTGGGTGGCCTTGGGACTGTCTGGGAGTAGGTTCCAAATGGCATCCTATTCCCTTTATAGTGCACTAGTTTTTCCCAAAGCCCTGGTCAAAAGTAGTACACAGTACATAGGGAAAAGGGTGCCATTTGGGATGTACCCTGGGAGTTAAGGCTCTGTTTTGAATAAGCCCATCCCTCCTCCTTAATGGACACTATATTGCTCATTGGGATGCATTGGAATTCAACCCCTCCACCACCCTCTGCTAACTTCACCAGGTGCCGGTCAAAACAGTACTTTCCCATACACATCCTGGACAAAAACAATGAGTTCAGTGGAGATCCTTCATTGAGCATGTTTTAGTCCAGGAATAGGTATAATCTGTCCAGGAAAACAGGTTTAATATGTGTTGGTCAGAGCCCTATAGTTAAGAAGTGTTGGGCTGTCGAGTTATGAGTTTACTCCAGTGAGGTGGGTCTTTAGGGGCGCTTACCTTGGCTCCCTCTTTGCCAGCAGAGCCAGGAAGACCCTGCTCTCCGGGTGGACCTGGGGGTCCAGGGTGGCCTCTCTCACCGATGGGACCGGTCTCTCCTGTGGGACCCTGTTAGGAAGTGAAGAAGAAAAATATATCGTGGGCATCATGGGTAGAGGCATGAGACAAACTCTACCATAACATAAGATCTCTATGGTTTGAACACCTGGAAAAGTTATTCATATATTTAGTTCCATGATGGTTCCTTACCTGAGGACCAACAACACCCCCTGGGCCGGGTGGACCTGTCTTTCCTTGGAATCCCTGTGGACAAGAACAACATATCAATGACATTGAAAACTCTTCCAAAACAACTAGCTCTCAATCAACGTAATAACGTCTTCCAATCTTGCTATTGATGTCATCCTTCCACAAATTATGATTTGAGTCTATGGACATAGTGGAGTCAGTGTTGTCAGTATCCCAATGGACAAGACAACCACTGAATGTACTATGTTGACAAGTGTTAGTGGATGATGACGTTGTGTTCAAGACAGTGACGTCAGTGATCATCAGGTCGAAGAAGTCGGAGCTCTAGGATGATGCCCGAGTTTCCGACTTGTAAATTCGAGTCGGATGACCGTTTAAGATTTCTCCCAGTCGGAGCTCATTCCCAGTTGTCTTGAACGCACAGAAGTCGGAGGTCCGAGTTGTCTTGAAGTCGGAGGTCCGAGATTTCCGAGTTCCGAATTGTCTTGAACGCACCATGTCTCTTTGTAATGGATCCTAAAGAAGAGGCACTCTATGGTTGCACCCTACTGGTTCATTACTGTGTGCATGGTACATGAAAACACATGAATTATGGAAATATACAATTATATAGTTTATGTTATGCTCCATTTATTTGTTTATTGTTTTGTATTTGTTTATTTCCATGTTCTCATGTTTAGGAAGTAACTTTAGATGCCCATGTAAATAAATGCTACATTTAGTAGTAGATATTTATCATAGACATTTATTCCACTTACTTACTTACCACCTCACCACCAAGTGGCAAGATGAAGTATCACATGACCACAAGGTCAAAGGTCAAAGGTGATGATCATTGCTGCAATAACAAGGTTAGCGTGGCAGAAGAGAATAAAGCAGACTAAACACAGACACCAGGAACCAGTTACACAAAATAAACATATTCCTGGACTAAAAAGGTATTTCAATAGAGATTCTCCATTGAGCATGTTTATTAGTCCAGAACTAGGCTAAATCTGTGTCTAGGAAACCGGCTAAGAAAGTATTATTCTAAAGATATAGGACAATAACAAGGACATCAACAACTCCCTGTTATAGTAAGGTTTTAATCTGAGTCTCCAAAAATGAGATATCGTCTTAAGGATTGTAGATCTTAAACTATGATCTCAATATCTGAAGTAGAATTGATGCTAATTGGTCAAACATCAAGCATAGTGATGGAATCAGGTGTGAAATCCATCAGCTGTCTGTTTGTTTCCGTTTAGATCATAGCCGGTGTGAAAAACTTCATTGATTTCCCTCGAATGAAGCATGTTCTACACGAATGCATCTGTTGTTGCATTCATGCCTATGATGCCAACTCCAGACATCATAGACGGACTGAGTGGACACCGTAAAAGCATATTCAATGACCATAGAGCTACATGAAACAACATACAGACATCAAACATAAAAGGGAGGAAGGGACTCAAGGGAGATACATTGACTACGCCACACAAAAATGCAGCAAAGAATCACAGATAGCTGATGTCATGTCACTTTTAACGTCTATTGGAGTAGCTACACTTGTTCTGGGAATAGAAACGTGTTGTAGTCTAGCCAGGGGTATGCTATTGTTAGGATATTTTATGTGCAAAACCTTTTCAGCTGTAGCGCATTCAAAAGTCAAATGTTTGATGATTTCTCATGGACTCATTATCTTGTGGCAGAGTGATTAATGATTGGGTATTGTTTGGAAAAGATTCAGACAGCTTTTTTACAACCTGGCCTGAATAAGAGATAGAAAGCCAGGGAGTGAAATCTTTATATGCACTGAATGCTTCCTCAGACTCTGCTATGCTGAGTGGATGGATCTATGCCCACTGCCTAGGGCCTGTAACATTTTATTGCTATGATCAATTCTGCTATTGGCCGCTCCCCCAGCCTGTTTACCAGGTAATAAATCCAGCATCATAAACATCTTAATGAAGAGGCTTATCGATGTCATTTCAAGATGAACCAGAGAGGGGGGGTCAGTCCCCCAGCTAATGTGTCACTTAGGAGGGGAACAAATGGAGAAGAAAACTTGAACGATTGGGGATGCTCCCTGCTCCGTGGAGCTTTTAGCATCTTTTAGTGCCCTGTGAGGATAATCGGGTGATGAATGCAAAACTTGCTGAATAAACTCTAAAGAAAAATGGTGGGATATGCAGAGAGATGAGGCTTAATGCACTAGGGTAATTCCTCTCCTGTGTTCCATTTAAGGCCTGGAACACAGAGCAGTGATCAGATAGGCTGTCTGTCGTTTTCCTCAACGACCTGGGAAGATAGACAGACTAGACCCTCTGGCTACATTTAGACAGGCTAGTGTCTGAGTGTGTGTCAGGGACTCAGGGGTAGTCTAGTCCCAGAGAGAGACAGAGAGACAGAGAGAGACAGAGAGAGAGAGAGAGAGGTACAGAGAGAAAGAGAGAGACAGAGAAAGAGAGAGAGAGAGAGGTACAGAGAGAAAGAAAGAGACAGAGTGCGCGAGAGAGAGAGAGACAAAGAAAGACAGCGAGAGAGAGAGATACAGAGAGAGAGAGACAGAGAGAGAGAGAGAGAGAGAGAGAGAGAGAGAGAGAGAGAGAGAGAGAGAGAGAGAGAGAGAGAGAGAGAGAGAGAGAGAGAAAGAGAGAGAGAGAGAAAACCAGAGCAGGGATATTCAATTCAAGTCAATCTCTCTCTCACTCTCTCTCACTCTCTCAATCTCTCTCTCACTAAATACATCAGGAAAAACAGAGGAGAAGGCCTGTCTGTGTGTCTAAGACAAGAGCGAGATGTCCAATACCCGGGCTTCTCGGTGCTATAAAAGCATGCAGACTTGAGGAGACAAATCCATCCAGGTGTGAAAAATGAGACTAGTCGGGGGGTTTCCCACCCCGAGACAGCAGGGGTAGTCTTATGTTTCCACACCTGGCAGGAAGTGTCTGTCCGAGCCCGCTGGCCCGGTGTGCCCAGGTGTGTGACATCTCTAACGAGGGGCGTGGTCTGGAACACTCACCGTCTCTCCTCGCTGACCAGGGTGGCCGGGCAGCCCATCCTTTCCAGGTGGTCCCTAGGAATGACACAGAGAACGTAGACTCTATCAATGACAAGTACATGAAAGAGGGGGAAACCTTGTGCACATCTAATGGTAGATTCTCATAGTAATTGTGGTGGGTTGACCAAAAGTAATCTGTTTTATTGTTCAATGACAGATACATGGACATATATCAGAGTGGAACTCTTTTTAAACTATAATAAGACACTGGCCTTCCTACACAGTAATGGCCTGCAAAGAGGAAACAGAACTATCAGCAAAGGTTAAATCGAAACTATGAATCAAACAAAAATCAATACGAGGAAATTAACTCTTGTCTTCTGGCAATAGGATGTTGAAAAACAGGGTTCTGCTTCTATAACAGTAATGATTACTACACCCAATCAGTGATACGGCCAATACATAGCCCACCCTATTGCATTCCAAATTGCTTTCCTTTAATTACTCCAGTGGCTAAATCAGAGTCACATAGAGTATTTCTTGGTAGTCTTAAACAAATCTACTTTGAAGCAAAAGTATACACCTCACACACATGGTTATGGGCTTAAGACACCTTTACCATGTCAGATATAGAGTTGAAATGTATTCCATTTTGAGTTTGCATCCCAATATTACACTTTATATACATCACAGAAGACTGGTATATAACAAAACTGTTTGACATACTGTAGAAACACCAGGTTTTCTACGTATATTTATATTTTTAAGTGTAGAAATTATGAAATTATGAAAAATATGAATAACATTCCACCCATGAGGCCTCTTGGTCATTTGACTGCAGGAAAGGGCTTCCTTAGAAATATGATGATGGCACTGGTGAGAGGATACTTACAGGGGGGCCCTTTGGTCCTGAGAACCCGACGGGGCCTTGGGGTCCTTGAGGTCCCTGGAATAAACCGAGCGGTAATCAGACAATGGAAGAGTGAGGACAGTCTTTGAGTTTCAGCAATGAGACACTCCCATTGTAGTGTGGCAGAAAATCTGCCTGGACAACCAGAAGTTCTGCTAGCCTCAGAGACTATACAGCTGCCTGATGTGGCTGAGTGGGCGTGGCTTGGTGTGGTTGGGTGTGGTCGAGAGTGGCTGGGGCGTGGCTTGGTGTGGTTGGGTGTGGCTGGTTGTGTGTAGCTGGGTGGGTCTAGCTGGTTGGGTGTAGCTGTGTATGGTTGGGTGTGGCCAGGTGGGTGTGGCTGTTTGGCTGGCTGTGAGTGGCGAGAGAGGGACAGATATATAGATAAATAGAGAGAGGGACAGATATATAGATAAATAGAGAGAGGGACAGATATATAGACAAATAGAGAGAGAGATAGATATATAGACAAATAGAGAGAGGGACAAATATATAGATACATAGAGAGAGGGACAGATATATAGACAAATAGAGAGAGGGACAAATATATAGATACATAGAGAGAGGGACAGATATATAGACAAATAGAGAGAGGGACAGATATATAGATACATAGAGAGAGGGACAGATATATAGATACATAGAGAGAGGGACAGAGACATGGAACAACTATAGCAAAACCACAAAAAAAATCATGGCTGGACCAATACCCAGATTGCCCTTGCCTCCAACAGTGACCACCTAGTAATGAGATCAATAATCATTAAATGCTTCCTTTCTTCCAGTGGTAATCACCACCAGTCGAGGTCAGGCCTCCCACTCTTTATTCAAACCCCACCACTATGTCAGACAGGCAGTTGTAGGTTTAACTGGTTAACTGCTTGTTATTCCAAGCCATTTCACATTTCATTATCCATGGGTCAGCCCCATACCCCGGCCCATAACCCCTCCCCCTTGGAAGCAGTGGCTGATGGGACTTACTCTCTCGCCAGGCGGGCCAGGTGGACCATCATTGCCCGCTGTGCCCTGCAAAACACAACAGACAGAAAATCAGCATCAGATATTCTACTGCTCCCAGACAACATAGTGATTACACATCAAGTATATAGGCATTAGCAGTTACACAGCTATAGGTGGATTACCAATGTCATTACCACTATGGTGTATGGTCTTTCTATGAGTTGTCAAGTGGGACATGTCTTTGAGACCTCTTTGCAGAGGAATGTGATTGTTTTTTCTTAAGTGTGTTGTTTTGTAATCTTGTATATTTATATTATGTGGTATTTGTAAAGTGTGTATTTGCAGTAAAAGGGACCTTGGTCTCAATTGGACTCCCTGCTAAAATAAAGGTGAAATAAAATATGCAATCAAAAAAGATGGAGAGGGTAGTTACCTTAGGACCTGGCTTGCCTGTTGGACCTCTAGCACCCCGACCCCCTCGTGGACCCTGAGAGACAGGAGAGGACAGACACACAGCTCAGAACAAGATCAGGTAAGGCTATACAGTACGGTACAGTATAGCAGGTCTCATACATGTGACAAGAGTTAGGACACACAAATACACATGTATTCATTCATTAACTAAATAAATAATTAATCCATCCATTCTTTCATTCATTCATTCATTCTCAGTGCTGTGTGGTAAATTGGAGGAGGACGTACCGTTGGACCTCTTTGCCCCCTTGGACCGGGTTTGCCCGCCACGCCCTTTTGAAGAACAGAGAAGAAGACATTTATTTAGACAGAAACCAACTCAAGGTCAATCCTGCCTAAACTTCCCCAGTAAGTTGTTTTCAAAGTTACTCTCCAGGTTTGTGCTAAAAACCTCTAGGTGAGCATGACTTTCTAGTCAATGCTGGGAAGGGAATGGATATCATTGAGAACAAACAATAGTTTCAGCATATTTTTGTTCTCTTCCACATTGATTCTTGGAGGTTATATTTTATGCAAACTCATCACACAAATGCTTTTGTAATGGGAATCAATGTCCTTTGTGTAGTGTTATGATGCAGTGTGTGTGAGTTCCATACAGAATCAGAAACAGGGACGGGACTATCTATCTTACCCTGGCTCCTTTCTCTCCGTTGGCCCCTGGGAAGCCCGGGAAGCCACTGGAACCCTGCGGATCAACAAGGCAGGAAGGAGAGGAATATCCATGTTAATAAGCAACCTCTACTATTATGTGAGAGACAGAGAGCTCCATCATACATTGACTCTGTACCCAGCACTGTGCCGTGGGAAAACAGATGACACAGAGAAGAGAATACAAGCTCATCACTATCAGAATAATACGATAGAAACACGGTGCATATGGAGAACATGAAATATCACACGATAATGTGACAGAAACACACATGAACTCATGCACACACACACACTTCCTTTGTTTGCAAAGACTTCAAAAATCATGATGACTTTGTAAAGATCCTTTGTGAAAACATGTCATTTAACAGCTCAGAGGGGTGGGAACATGGAACAGACACCAAACAACAACAAAAGAAAACCATTGACTTGGGTAAACAACGAGTTAAAAAACAGACAATCACTTTATATGAAGACAGTCTGGTTTCTAATCATGGTGTTTTGTTGTGTATGCGGGATTCAAAATCATCTTCCCAGTGTACTTCAGTCCTGGTGTTCATAAAAGCATTCAAACATGAAATCAATACAATGGTTTACTCTCCCATTTCAAACCTGTAGCTATACTGTTTTCTAGGCCCGATTTCACAAAGTCATGATGTGAGCTGAAGCTCAACATAATGAAATGGAAATAGATGGGGCCAAACATTCAGAGTTTGATGGACTACGAACCTCTCACTATAAAACTGACATTCCTCTAAACCCAATGGCCGTGCTTCAACAGTTCACTTTATAAAAACCCAACTTCTGGCAGCTCTCAGCCATAAATTAGCCCTACAGTCTATTAGATAACATCTCACGGAATGCCACATAATCTTCCAGCATAATGTTTGTAATCTTTTAATCCATATTACCAGTGGATTTCTAAAGAGCAGATTGCTGGATGTGATGGGTAAGGAATAACAAGTAGGATATGTATTTCCTGTTACGGGACGTGTTATGATGCTGATGAGAAAATCTATCTATCTGTGTTTGAACTGTACATAACTGTAAGTCTCAGGGTTACAAGAGGGACATTGCCCATCGTCTAGGTCTCTGAGGACACAACATGGCTTCTTAGTATCTATGTCTAATGTGAATCCTGAGTGAAAGCAGTATCTACAGTACCTCCATCTTGGAAAATTAGTACTTATTGAAAGACATATCTGTCAATGAACCAGCTCTGGTAAAATGTCCCTGGATGTTCTTCGGTGAACAACCAAGTCTGTTTGACATCGGGTTACTCCTTCCTAACCGTGTGGTGGGTCATGTGTTCTGAAGTGAGCTGGATATTGGTGGATGTTGTTCATTGAAGTTGTCCCCACATAGAGAAGTCCTCACAGGCATCACCGTGGTGATTGTTTACGTACCTTTGGACCTTGTCTTCCTGGGTAGCCAGGTAATCCTGGAACACCCAGTTTTCCCTGAAGACAACAGAAAAGTCTTGCTGAGGCAACATAAACTAATACTTGAATGAGCACAATGTGTTGGTAAACAGTTGTACTAGGTCAAATGAAATTAAAGTATTTCCACAGGCTTCGGGGATATGCTACTAACAACAGATTGACCTTACAAGACAAAAAGGGGGTGTGAATGAAGACGTTACCTTCTCTCCAGCAGAACCCATGGGGCCAGACTCTCCGTTGGGCCCTGCTCGGCCCTTGGGACCCTCAGGTCCGTCCTCACCGCGGGGCCCAAGGACACCGAGCTCACCCTGAACAAACCCAACACACAACAGGTAAGGTATTGTACCATTACTGTGGTCTATGGTGTATAGTGTACCATACAAATATAATTATGGGTGAATCGGTATCTACACGTATGAGTCGTCAACTCACCCTGTCGCCTTTGAGACCCATGTCTCCCTTGAATCCAGGGAAACCGTCCTCACCCTGAAATAAGAGAGAAAAATATGAACAGGGGTCATTGTTAAGTTGATATGTAGGAAATTGAATGGATCTTAGACTGTCTTGTTTTTCACCATGTGTAAGAGATCAGTGGGATTCAGTATGCCTTGAGCTTGTACGAGCAAAATAATGATCTTGTCCCCAGGTTCAATTAAAATCATTTCAATAGCAGAGTATCTGTGGATACATATTTATTTTTTTATACTTTTTGTTTTAATCGTAAATAGTAAATCTAAATGGATATGGCCTATATCTTTCCACAGGCTATAAAATAGGGAACCTCATCTGCTTAATCTGTGCAGTCTCTCTGTATGCAGTGCAGACTACTGCCATCTGGTGGCCAAAGAGGAGAATCACATTGCATGTGCATTGTTTCAAATTTCAGTTTCAAGTTTTAATGTCACATGCACAAGTACAGTGAAATGCCTTTCTTGCTACCTCTAACCCCAACAATGTAGTAATCAATAACAATGTAATACAAAAATAACAAGATAGAACAAAAACACACACAATATATAAAAATACGAAATAATAAAAACACTATAAAGTAAGTAAGCATACTATTTACAGGGTCAGGGTAATTGGAGCGCAAGACACTTCTCTTTTATTATAATGGTCCTATAGGGAGCTTATGCATTAGAAAAACATTGTGGACGAGCAAACATACAGTAGAGATATCTGTCACTCAAACATTTAAGTGGAGAATATATGATGCTATACAATACATGTTGTTGAAGTATAGTGAAGGCTTCTTTAGACTATATTTGGCTGCTGTACAAGGTAGACTTGTTATCTCCCTGCAAACGCTGTAAAAGTTTCATCCTAAATCAAATTCTTATTGTATCAATTCATGGAAGCCATGAAATAGTTAACAAGAGAACAAGGAAACCTTTCTCAGTCTCTCTCTTCTTTCACTGTGTTCTTTGTCTCTCACTGTCTCTTTTTCTCTGTAGCTCCCTGAGACTCTGTGTGCAGTCTGTCACCTGTCTGTGTCTCTTCTCATCCTAATACATAATGCAGTGTGTGTGTATGTGTGTGTGTGTGTGTGTGTGTGTGTGTGTGTGTCTACCCTGCAACCAAAGCATTGAAACCATGCATGTTTCACAACAAGCTCTCACCTCTGGGATGGGGTGCATTCATTTTCTATTCAGAACAAACACTACCTTCCTTCCTCAAGGTTTTGGGATTGCATTAAACTTTAACATACATTTACATAAAAATTAAACATAAATTATTCAGTAATACCACTGATATCCATGGTGTTACTGATGTAAAAACAACATTAATATTGGATCTGTGTCATGCTCTTGGTTTTGAATTTTATTAATGTATTTATAGAAAGAGATTAGTATAGTACAGATTGGGGCAGTGGGGACATTTTGGACTGCATAAGGACTTTGTGACTGAACATTGTGACAGAACTTTGTGTTTAACTCACTAGTAATCACAACATGGACTTCTTACACACAATGGCAGCGATATGAAGCATCAAATTATGATTAGGAGAAGCTTTACCTTCTCTCCCTTTCCACCCTTCAGTCCACGAACACCGTCAGCACCCTAGTAGACAGACAGGAAACAGACCACAGTTATCAACCTAACACAACGTCCCACCTTGAGGATGTTTCTGAACGTCACCTTGGTGAGCTCCACCACAATACCTTGACGCCACGAGGACCAGGATAACCAATAGGACCCTGGGGACCTGACTGGCCCTGGAGGAAGAGGACACAGAGAGAGAGAACAATGTCTCCATTAGTCTCTCAATAAGAGATATGTCTTAAACTATTCTGTTTTAGTTTCATATCCAAAAAAGAACATATCAATCAATCAGCCAATCGACCGACCGATCAATCAGTCAATCAATTATATGCTACTAAAATGTAAATGTTAATTGTACTTACTAAAGCTCCCTTCTCACCAGGTGGTCCCTCTTTACCAGGATGACCCTGTAAGAGTAGAATGAACACAAGTGACTTAGATACAGTACTTTAATCTCGTATGGATGCGCCCTCTAAGTTGATATATCTCAGTCAACACTCAAGCAATGAACCCCAAACTTCGATTTTATGGAACACATCTGTACATCAAAAAGTTCTAGTTTGATTCTATGGAATAGCTCAGTACTTCAGAAAGTTCTAGAAGGCCTCAGTGTTAGTGTACGACAGCAGCCTGCCTGCCTGCTGCTGGCGGTGGTGTAGACTCTAGTGATAACAGTCTTAGGTCTAAGCTCAGTCTTACTGTCTGACTGACTGGTTAGTTTACACATATGGAAAGACCTTTCACTTGCACACCTGGCACCAATTAAACATGTCAGAGGGCAGAAGGCTGTAAATCAGTAGGTTTTAGGCTCCCTCTCAGCTTCCCAGCGTTTCCCTGACACACACTGTAGCAGATCAACTAGAGCAGGCTAACAGACCACCGAGGCAGAGGGAAATACTAGTACAGGTCGTACAAAACTCATTCTGACTTGCCTGATATTAACTTATGAACTTTTTGTGTGAGGGGGAGCCGGGTGTATGATGTGGTGTTATTCTCAATTGATTCTATGTATTTATGTGGAAGCAACAGCCCTGTCTATTGTTCAAGTCAAATTTCCACTCTGGGACATTAAAGTATATCATATCAAGTTGGGAGAGCGCAACGGACAGGATAATTGGTCAATGCTGTGGCTCAATGGGTGCTAGTTGCAGTGGAAGGAGAGATGTTTGGTGCACGCTACATTTTACAAACTGTGCTTTACTTCCTCATTTTGTGTAACAGCACAGGTGATAAGGCTTTTCAACCAATCTAGTTTGTTAGCCAATTAATTATCACAGTCATCATAAATCTCACTTTAATGACTAACTGTAAGTCGCTCTGGATAAGAGCGTCTGCTAATTAACTCAAATGTCGATGTAAATGTACAAAGGCCCTGAGGCAAGCTACTCCTATATACTACAGTGTGTGGAATGTATATCATCCTCTACTGTGTACGGACATGTACTGGTACCTGTGGCTTGCTATGTTAAGGCAAACGATGGCAGTTAGTTAACAACATTTCATACCACCATCACAATGTAGATCTTGCTAGTTCTATTGCTCCTCAACAGTGTGTTGACTGTCACAGGTACGTGTGGGTTGTCTGAGGGCAATGGATGAGTGAATAGTGTGAGAGGAGGGAAAGAGTGTGAGACTGAGTGAGAGGTGTAAACAGAATGACAGAATGGCACGTACTGGAGGTCCGTCTGACCCAGGTAAACCAGCCAACCCAGACCTGCCCTGAGGTCCCTGTAAACAGAGACAGAAGGAGAGAAAAACACAGCATGGGTCAAAGGTCAAAACAACACTTTAACAACCTCCAGGACATAGTCAGTTCACCTCTGAGAAAAACAACATACATCTGAAAATAATAATTTTACAGATGAGGTACTAGGTGCAATTCTGAACGTTTTGTGTAGACACTTGTATAAGGGGGCTTTCATTCACTGCACATTATACAAAAACCCTTCAGTGCAGTACTATGGCAAATAAGCATACTACATTTACATCCAACAGATTACACACTTTACAGTTTGTCTTTCGGGCCACTCACTTACAAACATGGCCCTTTTATGTCAATTTTGTTGACAGGGGACTGAAGAGCAGAGCTTCAACTTACTTTTTCACCAGGTGGTCCAATGGGACCTTGAGGACCAGGAAGACCCTGCAGGCCAAAAGAAGACCGACAGCTTCAGAGTTTGTTGCCATAGCAGCAACACACACACACACACACACACACAAAGGCTAGCTGGGGTCATGTAGGGGCATTGGGGACTCAGCAGAAGGTGCGGGGGTAAGAATGGTGGGACTGTATTCATTCTTGAGCGTGTGTGTGTGTGTATTTGTGCCCGTGTGTGTGTTTGTGTGTGGCAGAGCGAGTAATCTGAGGCTGTGCTGCAGCTCGGGGAGCCTGCTCCTACAGGTGTGTCTCTCTCGGCAGGCATTCCACAGACATGAATGAGATGCTTTCACCGCTTCCCTCAACCCCTCCAGAAAACCCAGGAAAATATTCCAAGAAAATCTCTCTGTGTGTGCTCTCTTTACCTCCAGGGAGCGAGAGGGGGAGAGGAAGTGGGGACGGGTGGAGGAAGGGAGGAGGAGGCAGGGAGCAGAAGAGGTTAGAGGCAGAATTCAACTAATCCCAAAATGTGATGTAAATTATCATCAGAGAGCAGTATATTTCCATAAGCTCCTGACATAATACCTCATTACAGTGAGACTATTATCTAACAAAAAAATCCAACTAAATTTAGACATCACACACTAAAATAAAGACACATTATTAATGTGTGTTCTTAGTGTCAATAGCAACTCTTTTTTTTGTACGTTTATATGTATATATTTGGTCTGTGACGTCTGTGATATTGTCTGTAATATCTGGGACACTATTGTCTGTAATATCTGGGACACTACTGTCTGTAATGTCTGGGACAATATTGTCTGTATGGTCTGGGACACTAGTGTCTGTATGGTCTGGGACACTATTGTCTGTAATGTCTGGGACATGGTCTGTGATGTCTGGGACACTAGTGTCTGTAATGTCTGGGACACTATTGTCTGTAATGTCTAGGACACTATTGTCTGGGACACTATTGTCTGTAATATCTGGGACACTATTGTCTGGGACACTATTGTCTGTAATGTCTGGGACACTATTGTCTGGGACACTATTGTCTGTAATATCTGGGACACTATTGTCTGTAATATCTGGGACACTATTGTCTGTAATGTCTGGGACACTATTGTCTGTAATATCTGGGACACTATTGTCTGTAATATCTGGGACACTATTGTCTGTAATGTCTGGGACACTATTGTCTGTATGGTCTGTGACACTATTGTCTGTAATGTCTGGGACACTATTGTCTGTATGGTCTGTGACATGGTCTGTGATGTCTGGGACACTATTGTCTGTAATGTCTGGGACACTATTGTCTGTAATGTCTAGGACACTATTGTCTGGGACACTATTGTCTGTAATATCTGGGACACTATTGTCTGGGACACTATTGTCTGTAATGTCTGGGACACTATTGTCTGGGACACTATTGTCTGTAATATCTGGGACACTATTGTCTGTAATATCTGGGACACTATTGTCTGTAATGTCTGGGACACTATTGTCTGTAATATCTGGGACACTATTGTCTGTAATATCTGGGACACTATTGTCTGTAATGTCTGGGACACTATTGTCTGTAATATCTGGGACACTATTGTCTGTAATATCTGGGACACTATTGTCTGTAATGTCTGGGACACTATTGTCTATAATATCTGGGACACTATTGTCTGTAATATCTGGGACACTATTGTCTGTAATATCTGGGACACTATTGTCTGTAATGTCTGGGACACTATTGTCTGTAATGTCTGGGACACTATTGTCTGTATGGTATGTGACATGGTCTGTGATGTCTGTGATATTGAATGTGATAATGTCTGTGTTACTGTCTAGGATGTCTGTCATGTCTGGGATACTATCATATCTGTGATACTGTCTGTAATGTTTGTAATGTCTGGGATACTCACTTGTGTCCCTGGGATCCCCTGCTGACCTGGAGGTCCCGGCTCTCCTTGAGGTCCCTAAACAAAGACAGACAGGCAGAGACAATCAATCTCACATGACAACGAGCTTAGAGCAGGGCACAGCAGACCTTATCTACAGTATATCTTTAGTTTACTCAGAAGATGCTTCCACCATTTAAGGAGATGTTTGAGAGTGCTAATATAAGATATAGCAGTGTCTACTCTCAATACGTTTGGGACTGAAGAAAAATACATCTGGTTAAAATAATAGAGAAATAGTTGACCTTGGAAAGAACTGTTGTATACACTGAAGAAATATCATACTTTTTTGAAAATACCTATATATTTCAGAGAACAGATTGTCCTGACTCCCCAGTGTGACTATTCTGTCATTTAGATTCCAGTTGTAGGCTCTTTTTCTAAGATTATGAGATACCACTACTTCCTCTGTCAAAGACACTGACAGACGTGAGCTCTCACAGACAAGACCATATACGGTAAACATTGAGTCAAAACACAAACAGATAGAGACCAGGGCTGTACTGTTGCTAGGGTACTAAGCTGAATAACGAATATGTTCTCTCTGTACGATATTAATGTAGGTTAGTCTGAGACAAATACCCAGACAAACACTGTGACTGATCTTTCTGGACTGAACAAACAACTGTAACCTGCAGTCTGTTGCTACTCTGAACTGTACGATTGCTGTTGTTGAAGTTCCTCCTAAGCACTGATTTAGGACCAGATTACCTTTCCCAAATCCTATCATTAACCATTAGAAGGTTAGCTTGCAAAACTGACCTAGATCAGTGTTTAGGGGCAATATCATCCTATTCCGATGTGCTACAGGGAGAAGCCCCAGCAGGCAGCCATTTTGAAACACATGGAGAGGTCACTGCCTGACCTACAGTGTGAATGATGTCACTCCTCCCTGTGCTCACAAGCACACCGTTTGACCTTTGACCTCTACAGCAGTGAAGTTTAAAATAGTGTTAGAACCTAGCCTAAACAACCTATCCTAAACACTGATACCCTGTAGTAGACTACACTCCTCTCTGGTAACAAATAATGTCTTGGTCAGGCTTACACAAACACTATATAAACCAGTTCTGGTTCCATCACTAACGATGTCAAAACGGGTGTTTTAGTTTAGTATCTGTGTGAGATAACGTTATGAGTGTTCATACCATGTTTCCTTTGGGACCGTGAGGCCCGTCCACTCCAGCTACACCCTGTGGAAATACAAACATTCAGATGAGTAGGAACGACTTATTCAATGTTGTAATATACAGGAGATACCATAGTGATAACTCTATCATAGGAAAGTATGTGTTAAGTACTACGTACAGGTTGTCCAGTGGGGCCGGGTGGACCGCGTGGCCCAAGCAGACCTCTAGGACCCTAAAGAGAGAGAGAGAGAGAGGGGGGGGGGGGGGGTCACCAAGGGTTAAAACATGAAAAAGAAGGGTTTCAGGATCACACAAAGATGGTGGATAAATTAAAATAGTTCACTGTTCCTGTCTGGGGGCGTTCCCCCTCTCACGTGAGCATGCTTTCCCGCGTGAGCTCATGGTTCCTCCATATATTGTATCTGGCATGCTCAGGTGAGATAGGGAACCGCTGGCTATGGTCTACCCATTGTCCCCTCCCCGCTTGCCCCACCAGTCCCGCCCTGCCCAGACCAGAAAACATTTGCGAGTGAGATGTCTCACTCTGGGGCACCCCCTCCGCGGGGACGGGGCAATAAGTAGACCGGAGTAGGATGTCTCGCTTTCTCTACTGTCTCTGGATCACAGAAAACAATAATGAAGTAATCTGTAGAACAAATACCAATTAAGAAACCCTGCCCCCTAATGGATTAATATGAATCATAGATTAAATAACTGATACAGAAGTAGTCGTGCTGTCAACCAGAGGAGATAGTAGGTCATAACAGGGTGGTTGAATACTTGTATTACTCCAATACTGTTGTGAAGTTACACTGTAGGGTCCTATTTATCAAACCTAACAGCAATTCAGTGGACACTCTCTTACGCTCTCTCCAGCCAATCCCCTTGGCCCGATCTCTCCATCCTCGCCCTGCACAGAGAAGAAGAACAGTCAGTTTACACAGTAAGGATGGAGGGATGGAGATGAAAAAGAGGAATGGGAGAATGATGGGGGGGTGGTACTCACTCTTTGTCCGTCCTCTCCAGGGGCTCCAGGTGGTCCAAGTGGTCCTGTCTCCCCCTATGGGAGGGGGGGGGGGGGGGGGGGGCGGATATAGAGAGGGGGAGAGAGAGGGAGAGAGAGAGAGAGAGAGCGAGAGAGAGAGAGAGAGAGAGAGAGAGAGAGAGAGAGAGAGAGAGAGAGAGAGAGAGAGAGAGAGAGAGAGAGAGAGAGAGAGAGAGAGAGAGAGAGAGAGAGAGATATGTGTGTTATTATCATGAAAGAGGATTGGGCCAGGCCAGCTGTAGACTTGAAGCTGCTCACAACCTCTTATTTACGTCAGGCTGGCTAGTTGTGCTGGCTGACTGACTGGCTGGCTCACTCTTTTGTTACCTTGATGTTACCCAGGCCAGGATTAGGAACCACACGCCCAGGTTGGAAATATCTGAGGGCTCCTAATATCTGTCTCAGTAGGAGCTTAGAAGAGACAAGCCACACAGTCCACTGTTTCTCTAACTCTCTGCAGCCCAAGCTCCTATTTAGCCTGGTGGGGGCCTTGTGTGGCTTGTCTCTTCTAAGGGCCCTCCAAGCAGACAGTACAGAACAGGACCGGCACTGGGAGTTCTGTATATGCATGTGTATCATTCAACATGCTGCCTGGCTATGTGTCTGGTGAGTAACTCTATGGAAGAGATCGATATAAGAGGATCAATGTGTCCAAGCTATTGGTCCAACTGTAAGTCTGAATAATATTAACTTTATTTCTTTATTTTTAAATGACCACTTCAAAGCCATTCAGATTAGTTCTACTATAATACAATAATATAATTCAGCATTTCATTTTCTGAATTCAGGATTTAGCTGATTGTATAATATTGCACACACAAAAACTCAAGACAGACTATTCAGTAGTAACACCCACAAGCTAATGTGGCCAAAAATGTCAAAGACATTTTATAACTTCCAAAACCCCTGGTATTTCCAAAAGCCCCTGTTCAGAGCCTAATAGTGTTGGCATTTTGTTTTAAGCCAATTTGGTTCTATCAAATAGGCCAACAGTGTTTTTACCCATAAGCCTATAAACGTCCAAGGCCATTTGTTTCTCAGACCAACACTAGTCTATTGTTCAATGATATTCATCCAGTATGTATCCCCTTGATTACCTGCTGTGCTAAATCTCACTGTAATTTACCTCAGATCCTCTGGAATGAGTGATAGTATTAGACAGAAAAGACCAGTGTTTTTGGAACATACTGTATTGTTGGCCATACTATGACCCATATTCTCTCTCTTTCGCTATTTGTTCAAGCGGGTCTAAGGGTTGAAGAGTGAAGGTGACTTCAAATCAGACCCTCAATCTAAGTGAACCAGTATGGGAACCGGAAGTCGTGTTTTGTAGAGGGAGAGAATATGGAGATCCTGATAATTTCAGCTCATTTTATGTCTGCATCATGGGTCATTTCCCTGAGATAGTATGCAGGCTCTCAACTGCCTAAAGTACAGATGTAGGATCTTAATTTGAGCCTGTTTGATACAGCAGGAAAATAATCCTGCAGCAACAGGAAATGTGAATTATTATGTGGATTATAATTAATGGACTTTTTGTAGGGTGTGATACATTTTTCGTAAGGGAAAATCAAGTCTGAAATTTCATAGTGAAAATGTCAAACTTCAAAAGCCTTTTTAAACCTCAAATATAGTTTTAAATGTCCTGCATTGCAGGAAAGTTCTCCTGTAACAGGGTGATCAAATAAAGATCCTACATCTGTATTACCATTTAGGAAGAGGTGAACATGCAGGTGCTTGTGACTTCGTGGTGTCGTTACAATACTCACCCTGTGTCCCTTCTCACCAGGCAGACCGGGCAGGCCATCAAAGCCTCTGTCACCCTGTGGAGAAACAATATGACAATGACCACCAAGTCCCAAGATGACACAGACATCATCATGCATAAGTTTACAACACAGTATTGTGATCAACACAGAACAGTCACACTTGACAGAGACATCATGTGGTTTTAATTCTCGGAGAAAAGTGACTAGTGGACAGAGGTCCTCGTGTACCTTAGAGCCTGACTCTCCAGGCATTCCTCGGGCGCCATCGGCTCCGCCACGACCCTACAACAGAGAGGAAGAGAGAGAGAGAGAGGCTAAACATGGAAACATAAAGACCAATCAGGCCATGACATCTACCTAGAAATACAGCTACAGCCAATTATGTCATCCACTGCCAGGTTGTCCCTTTTGGTAATTTTAACTGGATTTTAGCACATATCAGGCATCTGTTTTTGATTTATTAGGATAAACCTCTCAGATCTTACACGCCACACACACACATACACACACACACAAGCGCTGGATGAGGTTCACTCAGTTCACTTACCCTCTTGCCAGATTTGCCTATTTGTCCTGCAGACCCTTGGACTCCCCTGGGGCCCTGTGAATGACACGTGATGATGGTCAGTTTCTAGTCAGCTAGGGAACATTAACTGTATAGGTATACAGTAATGAAAGGTGTAGGTATAGGTAACTGTAGGTGACATATTGTTCAGTTCATCGTCAGTTAGGTAACATTAACTATGAAACAAATGTATACACTCACTAACTGTAAGTCGCTCTGGATAAGAGCGTCTGCTAAATGACTAAAATGTAAAAGAAATTAACTAAATAGGTATACAATAGGTATAGGTGTAGGGAAATGTAGTGAGATATAGGGTAACTGTAGTGAGGTATTGGTAACTGTAGCTGAGGTATTGGTAACTGTAGTGAGGTATTGGTAACTGTAGTGAGATATAGGGTAACTGTAGTGAGGTATGGGTAACTGTAGTGAGGTATTGGTAACTGTAGTGAGGTATTGGTAACTGTAGTGAGGTATTGGTAACTGTAGTGAGATATAGGGTAACTGTAGTGAGGTATGGGTAACTGTAGTGAGGTATTGGTAACTGTAGTGAGGTATTGGTAACTGTAGTGAGATATAGGGTAACTGTAGTGAGGTATTGGTAACTGTAGTGAGATATAGGGTAACTGTAGTGAGGTATTGGTAACTGTAGTGAGGTATTGGTAACTGTAGTGAGATATAGGGTAACTGTAGTGAGGTATTGGTAACTGTAGTGAGGTATGGGTAACTGTAGTGAGGTATGGGTAACTGTAGTGAGGTATAGGTACAGTAACTGTATAAGTGCAGAGTATGACTGTGAGTGTGTTAAGTAGTCTACAGGTATATCTTTAACCTCTCACCTGAGGACCAGGGTCTCCACTATCACCTTTAAGTCCAGGAGAACCAGGAACACCCTGAGATAGAGATGGACCAATGAGAAACATGGACACAAACCTTAAGTCAGTCCTATTGGCTTCATCGTAACTCCACACAGCCAGAAAGGTGAGTATATGTTTTATACAATGAAACAGCAGATGGCGATATTTAGCTGATAGTTGATGCACATTAGTTGATGCCTCCTGTATTGTTTAATAGATTAATTGACATGTATTGTAGAAAAAAAGTATTGTTTATTAAACAATGTTACAAAACCATTGTATATATTTATATCCCAGGCAAAGTAAGAACTCTTTATCTTTATCTATAGGATGACTATAAAGTATGTTTCATCTTGAACTACCATACTCTCCCTATACTCCCATGTGTCAGCTATCTAGTCAGCACCTAACATGTATTATTCAACAGAGATGAACATATATGAAAAAAATAATTTTGGGGCTTTAGAACTTAATTGGGTATTTTTGGGGCATATACTTAAGTCTAAAATTGTGGGGTTCTATTGCTGGGCTAGGTAGGACTTTTAAAGCACCTTATCGGTCTGCACGACTGAAATATTCACAACTAGTGATTTAGCAATTACAGCCAAGTTTTAAGAACTATTATGAACTTTGTGGTTTTAAAGGGGAAAACATAAGGTAGACCTATCAAATGAATACAAACAAAAAGAAATGCACTAGAATTATATAAAGAAGCTTCAACCCTCTAATCTTGTTCATGTTTCATCTCTGCTCAGGTACTTATATAGTTGGTGTATAGCTCGGGATGGTAATATGTAGGAAGATAGCTCATATGGAGGGTGAAAAATAGGGATGAATTGTGACATAATACTTTGAAGGTTTCTGACAGGGCAGTCAATGACCCATGTTCACCATTCCTTACATGAGGTGGAAAGACTTAGTAACAGGGATGTGTGTGTCTGTGTGTGTTATGAGGGGTGGAGGAACTGAAACTTACCACTGGACCGGATCTTCCTGTGAGACCCATTGGACCTGAGGGACCTCTCATGGCGAGCTGTGGGGTAGATGGCAGGAGGGTGGAGCGGGGAGGGTGGAGGGGGGAGGAAGGGAAGGGATGACAAATCACCAGTCAGAACGAGACCCTCCATATGTCACAGCACCCCACAGACATCTTTACATCCTAACTCAAACACTCTCTTATAACCCACTACGACTCTTTTTCTGTGGTGTCATGGGTCTACCGTAAGTGAAACATGATGACGCAGTGGCCTACAGCAGTGGCCCAATCATTTTCTTCTCTCTCTCTCTCTTTCCTCAGACACCTGTTGGTCTGCTGGGCTGGCCTAGCCGTGGGTCATGAACTCCTGTAGTATTTTTAAATGCCTCCTGCATCTGTCCAAACAGGCTGTGTTCCTGCATGTAGCCTGCTCAGCACCTCTCTCAGTGCCCCCCACACCCCCTTCCCATAAACCACAGCTGTGAGAAGGGATATACCTATAAAGAGGAATATGGCTGAAACACCAATGAGGTTCTCTTTTTAATAAAACAATGTTTTAATTTCAAGAGAGAGAGCTGCGGCAGTTTTACCCCCCTAAGGCTACACTGGAGCCGTTTGGCCTCCTTTGGCCCACTTCAGCCCTGGTGTACTGTTTGGCCTGCTTTGGCCCCCTTCGGTCTGCTACAGCCATGGCATTTGGCCCTCTTTGGCCCATTACGGCCCTAGTGAACTCACTCTAGCCTGGGAGAGGATAGCCTGGGCTTGGGCCTCCTGGGCAGACACCACGGGACCCTTCTCTCCGTCCCCTCCAAAACGGAACTGTCACACAGAGAAACACAGGCCTTACAAAAGAAAAATCACAATCATGCTGTGTGTGAACAACGAACATCTGAATATCAATCAAAGATATGGACCAAGAAAGACAATATATGGGCAGAATATGGATCAAGATCAAGCAAGACAATCAATTAATTTATATCACCCTTTTTACATCAGCAGTTGTCATAAAGTGCTTTACAGTTACCAATACATTTCAATACTGGTAGATATTAGTGTATGTTGGATTGGATGTATTAAACAATATGTCAGGTCTGGTACTTACTGGCAGCATCAGCATGGTACCAGGAGGACCTGGTAAACCGTCGGCTCCTGCGAGACCAGCCCGCCCTGCGGGACCCTGGGAAAAGGTGTCACAGAGAGCAGGTGATAAATCAGAATGAAGAACCATGGTTGATTGAAAGATTCCATGTTAGAACATGCCCAGAGAGAGAGAGATTGAGAGAGAGAGAGAGAGAGAGAGAGAGAGAGAGAGAGAGAGAGAGAGACAGGGAGAGACAGGGAGAGACAGACAGACAGACAGACAGACAGACAGAGAGAGAGAGAGAGAGAGAAGGAGAGAGAGAGAGAGAGAGAGAGAGAGAGAGAGAGAGAGAGAGGGGGGGAGACAGAGACAGAGAGACACACACTATGTTCACCATTCAAAGGGAAAATAAGAACATCATCATCATCATCATCATTCTCATCCATCCATCATTACAACACCAGAAGGATAAGGAGAGGAGAGGAGAATAACCTCACTACCAGGTGGCGTGACTGAACATGGAGAGTTCCTGTGCCTTAATAACTACTTGAGTAAAGTATCAGAGCAGAGGACTCTACAGCAGCCCAGGTGATTATCCTGTCCTTTCGTCCTGACCCATTTCTTTCACTTACACTGGCCACAGAGTGGTGTCATGTTGAGTGGAATGACATTTGCAGCTGAACAAAGACGTAATACTTTCTGGTACACATGGCAAGTGTGTACTTAGTCTAGTTATGTAAGGTGCTATAGGGAGGTTGGTTAGAGGTGTATGGTCTGAATATGAATCCTCTTTGGTTCATGAATTGTGATTATTATGCAAAATGTGTAAGCATCAATATGAAATGATAATTTTAGTACAATAAGTAGTAAATATAACTATACACACATAGGGATAGGCCTACACACAAACACACACAGTAAATGGCAGAGGTGTGTTTGCCCAGGGACGGTTGGCATCATTAGCATGCTTCTCCATTCCCTCCTCACACAACCAGAATAACATGGCCTCTCTGTGAGCCATGGCACTGTCCTCTCTCCAAAACCAACAGCCACTTGCATGCCTGGCTGTGTGTGTGTGTGTGTGTGTGTGTGTACGTGCGTGCATGTGTGTGTACAGAATGTCATTTTATGAGCTAGGCAGCTATCGATTGATTGTAGCCATTCCAAGAAAAACAGAACAAAAATGTCAAGTCTGCCACTGGTTAAATGTTTGCTTTTAAACCAGAAAGGCATACATGGAAACTCAAATAATATATGGGGAAATTACTCTCAGCTACTGATTTTATGCTAATTGCTATTAACAATACTAATTATGTTAAAATATATTAAATGAAACACTAATTATTCTATTGAAACATATCTTACAACTACATTTTAGTCATTTAGCAGACACTCTTATCCAGAGCGACTTACAGTTAGCGAGTGCATACATTTTCATACTGGCCACCCGTGGGAATCGAACCCACAACCCTGGCGATGAAAGCGCCATGCTCTACCAACTGAGCTACACGGGGCCTGGGATATATCACTGGGATATATTTGTTAGTTCATTCATTCATTCCTTAGTTCGTTCATTCATTCACAGAGCAGACTGACATACTGCCACCTAGTGAATTACAGTGCATGCATGCTGTAGGGCACTAGCTGTATTACACTGTTCCACGGTCCATTACAATGATCACTACTAGCTGGTCTGAGCACAAAACGTAATCTTACTATTACAAATAAGCTGCTAATTTAGGAATTGGGGAAATCAAAGTGTTGTGACCTTAACCAAGTACTTTTACCTATCAGTCAGTGGTGAGTAAAGGAGTCAGTGGTGAGTAAAGGAGTCAGTGGTGAGTAAAGGAGTCAGTGGTGAGTAAAGGAGTCAGTGGTGAGTAAAGGAGTCAGTGGTGAGTAAAGGAGTCAGTGGTGAGTAAAGGAAGGAAGCCATTTCTAAGTATTCCACCACAGCTTAATGCTGATTACTAGTGTCTGTCTATAACAGAGATCAGGGCCCATATTCATTAAGCATCTCAGAGTAGAACTGCTGATCTATGACCAGGTCCCCCTTGTCCATGTAATCTTAATCATTATGATCTAAAAAGCAAAGCTGATCCTAGATCAGCAATCCTACTCTGAGATGCTTTATGAATACAGGCCCTGAAAATACAGTATTATGACTTTATACATGGAATCAGTTGTACTGTTAGAGCTAATGAAAACAAGACTTTAACAGTCTGTGGGTTTCCCCTCCTCTCCACCCTACAGTCATCCTTTCATCTCTCTCTGTCTCCCTCATTCTCCATCCAGCTGCACATGCCTTCTCTCTTCTCCCTCGCTGTTTCATCCCCCGCTCTCTCTCCCTCAAATTGAATGGTTTTCAACTGTCTCTTCAAAGTCTCTGTTAATGTGTGAATATATTAATGTGCTACAGTAATTTGCCTGTAGACCATTTGTAGTCATTTTCAAACATAACAACTACAACCACTCAATGACTTAAACCGTCCTCAGATAGAGACCCTCCTATGTGAGTGGACAACACAGATTGACCATGATAAGACAAGGGACACAAACCTCTCTTGTAAAACTACAGGGGAGAAAACTGACTGACTGAGCCCCAGGAAGCCACACAGTTGACGACAGACCTGACATGGGAATCTCCCACTTCACTCCTCCTCCTCTCATCCATCTTTCTTCCTCTCCACCTCTCCCTCTGCACTTTCTTTCTCCCAGGTCAGAGGTCGCACACATACACATACACACACATATATGCAGACACACATACATACACACATGCTCACACAGAGAGAGCGCCCGAGAGAGAGAGAGAGAGAGAGAGAGAGAGAGAGAGAGAGATAGATAGATAGAGAGAGAGAGAGAGAGAGAGATAGAGAGAGAGAGAGAGAGAGAGAGAGAGAGAGAGAGAGAGAGAGAGAGAGAGAGAGAGAGAGAGAGAGAGAGAGAGAGAGAGAAAACGAGTAGTATACAGGAATAGAGGCTCACCCTGTCACCAGGATCTCCAGCAACACCAGGGGGTCCTTGTAGACCTGAGGGGCCTGGTAGACCCTACAGAAAAACAACCCATGCAAAACAAGGCACAGCAATGTTGTTACATAGGCCTACATCCTGACTTAAGATAGATCCCTATACATTGAGGCTGAGTCACAAATCATGTACAGTATGCTACTCAATTGAATATTTTAATTGAAGTTTGAGTAAAGATCTGTCCCATTCTTTTGATATAGAGTGCATCCCAAATGACACCATAGTTCACTACTTTTGACCAGAGCCCTATGGGTAGTAAGTAGTAGTACACTATAAAGGGAACAGTTTGCCTCAGGATGAATAGATATGTGTTACTCACAGCTGGGCCTGCAGGTCCAGGAGGTCCTTCAATCAGCATGCCCTAAACGTGATCGACAGACAACATGAATGAATAAATGGGACAGCAAGGATCAACACAAACATGGTGCAGCAATTACCACAGCACTACACAGCACTACACAGCACTACACAGCACTACACAGCACCACAGTCTATATTACTGCATCATCTCTCTATGGAGGAGCACATTCATTAATAACCAAACAGTTATTTCAACTTCCTGTATAACACAATTTGTTTGGGTACACATATTCCCTCAACACCAGCAGTGTTGTGTTTAGGGTCTTACAGGTTCGATCACAGCGGGTTCTCCCTTCTGGCCTTTCTCCCCACCACCAGCCACCTGTGAAGATAGGGAGGACAGATGTATGAGCTTCTTCATATGGAGCTACAGTCACTGGATCAATGACCAGCGGGGATGGGCGGAACGAGAGATGAGAAGAATGAAAGAGGCAATTCCACGAGCAAAGAACATGATTATATCGAAGCGTGGTGTATAGGAATATGATATTGGTTACTATAGTATAATTCTAAGGGAAAAAGTGTAACAATTATTTCAATCCAGTATCATATTCTTATATGGACACACCCGATTTAATAGAGTGATGTGTGATGAGCTATTCAACAACTACAGGAATGAAGGAATGAAGAACAGACAGAGAGAAAGACAGAAACGGGTAGAACATGTTAGTCTCAATGAAAGAGGATCGATCAAAGTGCTTGAAATGGAGAGCAGTGTCATTGCATTCATATGGATCATATGGGACTGTGTGTTAGGATGACTGGATGAAACATACAGTGAATCAACACCAATGATTTTACACCAATGGTTTTAATATATAACATATGTGACAAGGCGAGTATACTGAGTAGAAGTCTCCTGCCATAATGAGAGCATAGGCCTGACGGTCTCAGACACTAACAGCCAAGGCTCTAAGATTTCCCTCAGGCCTATGCTGTGTTGAAGATAAGTCAATGGCAGGCTGCTATCTAAAAGTGACATGCACTTTCCTTCTCCCTATCAGACCAACCACTAACATGTCTAACCCATCCAGACAGTGAGACAGTTCAGGCAGACAGGAACGCATTCACATTCAAGCTAAGACAACCTCCACACACACAGCATGACAATGACAGACAAAGTCCCCATGCCAAGACAAACTAGAATCACGATGCTTCTGAAATGAGAGAGTTCTGATTCCATAACCACAGCCTGTGGGCCGGGTTGGGACCCCACGGCGTACACCCCTGGTTCATGCACACACCCCTTAGTCGGGGGCGAGGGGTGCCATACTTACGGCAGTCTGGGTGAGTTCCTCCGTTTCCGCGGGAACCCCCAGCCCCACCTCTTCTTCGACGGTATCCATGGGGTTGGGTAGCTCAGCGGCGACATTGCCATACTCATCATACACCCCATACTCATACTGCTTATTGTCCAACACGCCCCCTAGGTCATACTCCTTAAAGTCATACGCGTCCACTCCGGGGTCCACACTGTCCAGGCCAGCCTCGGGGGCACCGGTGGGCTCCTGACCCAGTGGGGCAGCTCCAGTGACAACATAGTCACCAGCAACAATCTCCTCCTCCACAGCCTTATGTTACCCAAGCAGCGGAGCGTTGGGGGGATGAGGGAGGTGGAGGGGTGAGCAATGGAGGGAACAGGGTTGTTAGTCAAGCAGTTAAGGCATAGGTAGGTAGAGGAGACTACTGTCTATGTAAAGCCTTAGCAGAAGGATGAAACCAGCATTGTGATACATGGAGAAGGCTATGGCAATGTGGTAACACCATATTTAAGTCCCATGTAACCTTGTGGAAATCTAAATGTTTGTTGGTGAGATATTGATTTAACTTTATGATAGTGTGTAATTATAATCTAGCCATTGCTTCATATACTGTTACTCTGTATGTCATTACTCTGTAATGTTTATGCACTGTATGTGTGTTATGCAACAGATATTATCATTGTCCAGTATTGACTTCAGGCCTATAACAAAAAGGGACAAATAAAGTGTTACCTTGATGACTTAAAAAAAGCATTATAAATTTAGATGATCAAATTTAGGTCAATCAGTCAAGTCTAAGACAGACTTTAGGTTATTTCAGTATTTTTTGCACAAACATAATACATACCACCAGAATATCAATATATGTACAATGGTGAAAAAAGACTGAAATAGATTAAGTAAATCTGAAATGACACTATAAGCATATTTCATGAATGGTGAATCTAGAATGTAGCAATGTGCAAAAATGCAGAGTACATATGTGTACAAGGGATTTGATGTTCAATTTACTAGTTGATTTGGATAGATACCAAATGTTTATAACGTGACTCTATTATGTATGACATTCTCTGCATTTGGCAAAGCTCTACAACCACAATCTGACAGCACCGTCATAATGAGTGATCGTTGTGGATTTCGCTTTGGAAGCCAACAAAATGGATGTCATGACACAGGTATCTGAGCTGATAATATCAGTGAGGGAGAACCAGATTTTGGCATGTAGGGGAGAACAGGGTAATATGATCCAGTGGGCCCAACTTACCCCATTCTACCCTATGGTAAATTGAAATGATATGCAATCAAGGGCAAGATAACCCAGTGACATCACATCCATGTGAAACACATTGCTACTGCAGTAACAGTGCAACAAGTATCATAATCGGCTGTGAAGATTCCTCTGCTTGGTTGATCATAGTTCTATTGGTGCGATTGGGAGAACTATTAATCAAAAGCTATGCAAAGGGCTGGCCATCTACGGCAGAACAGGGGTGATTGCTGTGACACCCATATCTCACTTGAGACAGAACACAAACCCCATGTTTAACTCAGCAGAAACTTTATGGCTAGAAGGAGGGGCTTGGCTCTCCACAGAGAGAAATTTACCCTTTTATGATTGGCCATTGCATACTGTCAATCATGGGTAAGGCTGCAAATCAAATCGTTTCCCCTACCTACTGTACCATCAATCTCATACAGAAAAGTACACCACTCCTAAAAGTAAAAGGTACATTTTGTCCATGAAGTAAACACCAAATGTGACTTTGACGATTGTATTTAAGGTTATTTTGGTTTGTGATGCCTCTGAACGCAGACTGTGCTGCAGTGTATACTGAGAATCCATTTGTTGGCCTACTAAACTGGCGACATATTGCTTAACTTTTACTGTGTGGTTTCTATTTCACAAAAGGCCTCTAACAAAGTCTTAGACCCACACAGACTAAAGAAAAATGATTTTTTTTCTAATCGAAAACAATCATGAAATATATACCTATCTTATTTCTCCTTTCAGCTGTGACCCAGTTTGTTTCACAAATAGTTCTTATTGCTTGTCATATAACTGGTACTGTCAGTATACCAGAATAATGTAAATGGCCAAAATACTGTATGTGTAATACGATTATAATACCATTACCATCTAATAGATCAATCTATACTGAGGGAGGCAGATAACCGTTAGATTATTATTTCAATGTACAAACATTATCCAGCAATGAATCAGTATCATCTAAGATGACTGTTGATGAAGTGTAATGCACATACATACATATTAGATACGCATGAAACTGCCGCCTTAGCCAGAATTGAATTAAACAACAGAAAGCTACACATTATTTGCATGGCAATCCACTGAGATTACATTATAGGATGCAAAATATACTTACAGGTCAGTGGATAGTACTAAAGTGGATTGAATAAAGCCATAAATGACATATTGTTGTAGCTTTCTGATGCTTAATAATCTCCTCTATCCAACAGTTCTGCTGTCAACAAAAACATCAAGTTCAAAACAGAACAATTGCTTTTGAATTGTTTTGTCTTTGTCATTTCATACCAGATACTTCCTTTGGTAATATGTCTTCCTGGTTTCTTTTACTCCCAAAAAACTGCTCTTTCTTTCTTATAGTAATAAGTAAATAAAAAACTAAATATGAAAAGTAAAAAGTTACCTCATTTGGTCCACTGGTGGCAATTGGAGACTGAGTTTGAGTACCCTCTACAGTTCCGTAGACAAGCTCACTGTCAGTATATTCAGTGTATTCTCCGTCTACATTGTTTAGCTGAAGTTGTGTCACATTGAAAAGGAAAGAAGAAGAAGAAGAAGAAGAAGAAGAAGAAGAAGAAGAAGAAGAAGAAGAAGAACAGAGAAGCGGGTTAAAACAGAACGAGCACAACACAAGGTGGTATTCGCTTGGGGCCTGTCCAGCTAGCTATAACTCTGCTGGGTCTAGAGAGAGACGGTGTAGAAGGGGGGGTTAGGTATAGCTTTCAGTCTAGCATCACAGATTTTCCCCAGAAAACGTCAGAGGAAAGATCTGGATGTTATCTGATGTTTCTTTACTGGTACTGTTACCCCTAATACTCTGTGTCGGTGTAGTTCCGGCGCGGTAGCTTGATAGCCATGATAGCCATTCATCTGTCTCTTCTTCTTAGCGGCCGCTAACTTTTTAGCTGCAGATTTTTTAGAGGCCTGGAACTTTAGGGGCTTAGCCTTAGACTTAAGGGACTTTCGGGTCCTCTTCTTTTTCATGTAGACACTACGTTTCTTTCTCTGGAAGAAGGTTATAGTGATAGAAGAACAAGACAACACATAACAACATTGAGAAGAGGAAGGGGTGGGGTTGAAAATAAACAACAACACCAGATATTGTGGGATATGTTTTCAACCTGAGATACAAACTGAACATAAGACAAACATTCAAAGCTGGCATTCGCCGTGTGAGAGCAGAGGGCGGGCCTTGTAGCTATGAATTCAAGTTTGATTGACACATCAAGACATACATTAGACAGTAAACCAGAAGAGTTGGGAAAGGGAGGGAGGGCACAAGAGGTGTCACAATAACTGACAGTAAGACACCACAGGACAAAGAAGCTTCTTTTGCTTTCTTTTCAGTGTTTCATTTACCTGAGGGTCACTACCCGCCTCGTACTCGTCTGTTGGAATGGTCTCTGTCTCTCCTTCTACTTCAGAGTAATCATAGAACTGAGTGTAATCTAAGTCATCAGCAGTAGTGTACTGAAGGGGGAGAGGGAGAGATGTTAGCATTAGTATGTTAGCATTAGCATTAGCATAACAGAGAACTCATTTTCTCAGGAAAAATATGATATAAATATAACATGTCTGTCGTGGACATATTATGAATTAAAACTGTAACAAGTTACACTCATTAGATTGCATTATTCATCAAAAAATATGAATAATATTGTACAATGTAATAATTAGCATGTCATATTGTAAGTCATCAAAGTATTGTCTCCAACGATATGCTGTGTAGCTTTTCTGCCAATGGAAATGCATAGCTAATGCTTGTTTACAAAACTGATGTGTAGCTGCACAGCACGAGACAATACTTTTTTATTATAGTAATATCATTTATGAGCGATAGCTAGCTCTTAAACAATACATCTGCAAGGCAAGGTTAGGGTTAAGCATCAGTTGGCCATTGATCTTTAAATGGAAATAAATACTAAGAACAGCACATGATGGAAACCATGTGAGAGCTACAGATGTAAAAACAGGTGGGGTGTATAAAACCTACTAAAAAGCTGAGGTGTACATCAGGGAAAGCCATGAGAAGAACACCAGCTGCATGTAGTATAGCAGGGGTTTGGTAATGGAACTTTTCCGTCATAGCAGTGGTTTAAATTATATCCTATAGCACCTACATCTGAAGCAGAGTAGATTAAAGAGTGTGATTTACTGAATGTGTAACTTCCTGCTAGTTTTGATTTCCCTTTCTTTCCTTGTGGTTATTTGTGGTTTATATGTGGTTACACTGAGGAGCTGCACGTGTGACTGTCTGGCTCTCATTAACAGCATCCCCAGTGAACATAACAAAACACTATTTTATGACTCAGAGGAAGTGGAAAGTGGAGAAGGGATTTATTAAATTAACAGTGGCAGTAAAACTCTCCTTATCCTGGTAGTTATAGGTGGGAAGACTGAACATGTTCAAATGCATAATCAATGATGAGCTATGCAACGTAATATGACATATACATTTGGAGTAAATTGTGTACTGAATATATATTTTACATTATCTGATCAAACTCATTGTTTTGATTACTTTGAATATCAAACAGTCAGAGAGGTTTAACTTGACTGTTTGACATGGGTTAAAATAATTGCATCCTTCACAGATGAATCAATGTTAGTCCCCATCCAGTTGCTTAGCTGATAATGGGACTGATGAGATGTCTTCCATGGGCTCATAGGAGAGAGACAGAAAGATATACATATTTATATCTATATACAGTTGAAGTTTACATACACTTAGGTTGGAGTCATTAAAACTCGTTTTTCAACCACTCCACACATTTCTTGTTAACAAACTATAGTTTTGGCAAGTCGGTTAGGACATCTACTTTGTCCATGACACAAGTAATTTTTCCAACAATTGTTTACAGACAGATTATTTCACTTGTAATTCACTGTATCACAATTCCAGTGGGTCAGAAGTTTACATACACTAAGTTGACTGTGCTTTTAAACTGCTTGGAAAATTCCAGAAAATGATGTCATGGCGTTAGAAGCTTCTGATAAGCTAATTGACATCATTTGAGTCAATTGGAGGTGTACCTGTGGATGTATTTCAAGGCCTACCTTCAAACTCGGTGCCTCTTTGCTTGACGTCATGGGAAAATCAAAAGAAATCAGCCAAGACCTCAGAAAAAATATTGTACACCTCCACAAGTCTGGTTCATCCTTGGGAGCAATTTCCAAATGCCTGAAGGTATCACGTTCATCTGTACAAACAATAGTTCGCAAGTATAAACTCCATGGGACCACGCAGCCATCATACCGCTCAGGAAGGAGACGTGTTCTGTTTCCTAGAGATGAAAGTACTTTGGTGCGAAAAGTGCAAATCAATCCCAGAACAACAGCAAAGGACCTTGTGAAGATGCTGGAGGAAACAGGTACAAAAGTATCTATATCCACAGTAAAACGAGTACTATATTGACATAACCTGAAATGCCGCTCAGCAAGGAAGAAGCCACTGCTCCAAAACCGCCATAAAACAGACAGACTACGGTTTGCAACTGCACATGGGGACAAAGATCGTACTTGTTGGAGAAATGTCCTCTGGTCTGATGAAACAAAAATAGAACTGTTTAGCCATAATGACCATGGTTATGTTTGGAGGAAAAATGGGGTACCTTGCAAGCCGAAGAACACCATCCCAACCGTGAAGCACGGGGGTGGCAGCATCATGCTGTGGGGGTGCTTTGCTGCAGGAGGGACTGGTGCACTTCACAAAATAGATGGCATCATGAGGAAGGAAAATGATGTGGATATATTGAAGCAACATCTCAAGACATCAGTCAGGAAGTTAAAGCTTGGTCGCAAATGGGTCTTCCAAATGGACAATGACCCCAAGCATACTTCCAAAGATGTGGCAAAATGGCTTAAGGACAACAAAGTCTAGGTATTGGAGTGGCCATCACAAAGCCCTGACCTTAATCCTATAGAAAATGTGTGGGCAGAACTGAAAAAGCGTGTGCGAGCAAAGAGGCCTACAAACCTGACTCAGTTACACCAGCTCTGTCAGGAGGAATGGGCCAAAATTCACCCAACTTATTGTGGGAAGCTTGTGGAAGGCTACCCGAAACGTTTGACCCAAGTTAAACAATTTAAAGGAAATGCTACCAAATACTAATTGAGTGTATGTAAACTTCTGACCCACTGGGAATGTGATGAAAGAAATAAAAGCTGAAATAAATCATTCTCTCTACTATTATTCTGACATTTCACATTCTTAAAATAAAGTGGTGATCCTAACTGACCTAAGACAGGGAATTTTTACTAGGATTAAATGTCAGGAATTGTGAAAAACTGAGTTTAAATGTATTTGGCTAAGGTGTATGTAAACTTCCGACTTCAACTGTATATATATATATTATATATATATATATATATATATATATATATATATATATATATATATATATATATATAAATATATATATATATATCTCTATATAGTGGGGAGACAGAGATTAGAGAGAGAGAGAGGAGCAGAGAGCAGAAATGGTCTATAGAGATCGCTCTCTCGATCAAGAGGGTCTCTACGAGATCGCCCTCCTCTCTCTCTCAGCTCTCTTCTCTCTCTTCCTCTCCCTCTTCTACTCTCTGCCCTCTCTCTCTCTCGACTCTCGATTTTAACCGCGTCTCTCTAGATATCGCTCTTCTCTCTCCTCTCTCTCTCTTCTCTCGCTCTAGAGCGACTATTCGCGATCTATAGAAACAGGATCTCTAGAGAATAGAGCCGAACCAGAGCGAGGATAGACAGATAACCAGAGAGATAGAGAGAGAAGAAGAGAGAGAGAGACAGATATACAGAGAGACAGAGAGACATGACAGAGAGACAGAGAAAGAAAGAGAGGCCACATGCAGGATCCCGTCCAGGCGAGTCGGCAGATTTACATCCTGGCACCACTCAGACAAGACATCAAGAGCACTGAACCCTCAAGGAGACTGGGGGGCATTCATATCTACTGTAAGCAGACTGTTAGAGAGGTGTCCCTCCCTCTCCTGTGGTCTCCCCTATTGTTCTGTTGTGAGTTTCTAAGTGTTTTTAATAAGTGTATAAATGACTCATAATAAGGAAAAAACCTGCTGCTCTTACGATAAGAATGACCTAGTACATTTAGTTTCCAGATCGTACTATATCTTAGATGTATATCCTTATCTGTATCACATAATCTGTGGATAACACAGATGTCATGTATCGCTTTGCAGGACAGTGTTAAGGCACGTGGTTGGCTGTGTTCTGTATTCTGTTCCTGCGGTTTGGCTCTGGTGCTATGGTGGATCTGTGAAACTTGTTAGCAGAACAAGCCATAGAACTCTCCACTCCAAAGTGGACACAGACATTGTGGCATTTAAATAATTTCCACTGTGGTCCAATTCAAAGAAAAATACCTGTAAGGAAATTTAAGAGCAAGTACCTCAAGAGTGTTCTGAAAAGATCATTAGATGTTGTACTGAGTTAAAACCTTCATGGATGGATGAGGAATTGGAGCAATGAGACTTCAATGACCTTGCTCCTTCCTCTATTGACGTTAAAGGTAAAGGAAGTAAATACCATAGAAATACATCAATTCATTGACACATCTAATGATGCTCTAAAAGGGACTAGTGAGACTTTGTATATCCTGTGTGTCTAGGATCCATGATTTGCTGCATAGGGTTCCATAAGGACCTCAAGAGCTGGCAGCGCCAGAATGAGTCCAGGTGCACTTATTCACACTGGGGGCCTGAAACTGGGGCCCCCATAGTGGGGCCCTCCATCCACAGCCTTGTGGCCCTCAGCATACTGACCTCGTCCTCGGGCTGCTGGGCCTGCAGTGAGTGGCCATGGGGAGTTTCACAGTCGGGGCTGTAGTGTTCACAGTAGTCATAAGCTGCTTTAGGATCGGCCACAATCAGCAGCTGCTGGATGTCACCCTGCAGAAAGACAACAAGGAAATAAATAAGGATTTAAAAAAAAATCACATTTACCTCTAACCCTTCCAGTAGGTAAGAGTTAGCAGAGCAGACAGACACAGTATTGTATTGTTCAAATATTATATGAACAATAAAAAAGTGAAATAACATGTCTATCTTTAGTCATAGATTTGATGAATATTGATCTCTGTACTGTAGAAAAAACAGAACATCATAACCATATGTCAGATAACATTTAATCCCATCACCCCCTATAGGAGCTAGTCTGTGGCCGTGCAGTCTCAGAGTTCTCAGGCTAGCAAGGGGTAGTAAGGGAAATGGAATGTGATTCTAGCCCACTGATTAAACAGCTTGACACATACCACAAGACACTCATCCACAGGGTGAATCAAGTTTAGACACTGGCTGGGTAAGTAAATTATTATTCTTACCACTGGGGTTTACCCAGCCAGAAAGGGAAATCAAACAAACATGTACCATCAGGAAGACAAAATGAAGAAACACCTGGAATCCATGTGTGCTGTCTGAGCAGCGGGAAGAGCAAATGTGTGATTTATGATGGAGCAAAGACAGACAGACAAACAACAGAAACCCACGGATGGAAGTGCAGTACTGACAATCTTGTGTCAGACTGTGATCAAAAAATGTCAGCAGAGATTGCAAGGCACCGTAATGTTGTGACCAAAAAAATTACAAAAGCATTGCAGATCTCATTAATCTGCTGCTAAACACCAAGGGAGGATGGAATCCAACATTTATTGGTAGAGCTAATTCGGGTTGAGGTGGGGGGTTAGAGAGGGTAGTATACCCTAGGGTACTTTGAGGGTACTCAACGTGAGTGAAATCAGATGCACCTTTTTAACTACACCAGTGCCAGGAGCCAGGGTAAAATGTTCATGGCCCAGCCTGGTAGCCTCATCTCTGTAGGATCTAAAGCAGGTAGCTTTCACCCCAATACCACAAGCCCAGGCTGGAGAGTTATCTATAGCCATTACTATAGCCACAAGGCCACAAGTATAGCCAGAGTGGTTTGCTGCACTGAACGCCTTGGGAGTGTCACAGCAGATGTAACCATTTGTGCGTCTCAAATGGCACCCTATTCCTTTTATAGTGCAAGGCTCTGATCAAAAGTAGTGCACTCAATAGGGAGCCATTTGGGATGCAACCTGCGTGGTTCTAACTGCACCCTTCATCCCTCGAAATGTCCTCAGGGAAGGTTGAGAACGAGCTTTGGGAGGATGTCTAGGTGGTGAAAACAATCGCATCATAAACAGGGTAATGGAGGTCGTAAGAATAGAAAGTATAATAGCATAGAATCATCACACTGCACAGAGTGATAGAAAATACTGAAAAGCCTCCATGGGTTGGCGAGTTCACTCATGTTTTCTTACTGCCACAATGACTGACATCCATTCCACTAGGTTCTATTTGTTCCAGAAGTGTCTCTAGGTTCTATTTGTTCCAGAACTGTCTCTAGGTTCTATTTGTTCCAGAACTGTCTCTAGGTTCTATTTGTTCCAGAACTGTCTAGGTTCTATTCGTTCCAGAACTGTCTCTAGGTTATATTTGTTCCAGAACTCTCTACCTTGTATCCGTTCCAGTAGATCTACAGTATGTCTATGTTGTATCACTGCTCTCCAACAGGGCCGATACAGCCAAAGCACATAAAGATCATAACTCACTCTAGCTGGCATACAGTACATCTTGGCTACATCATCTGAATTCTCCTCAATCTATAATTGCTAACAAAGATTCCTGCACCTATTCACACCTTTGAGGGACAGCTGGAAGGGAACTTGCAGGAGTATAAACGATGATGCGTTGGGTATGGAGCCTGGCAGATGAGTACTGTGCCTAGAGGAAAAGTAAGGAGCTGACTGATCCTGTTATGCGCATGTCAGAGAGTGTTTCTGCCACACACTATACTGGAATAGCAGCAGAAGGTTGTCAGAGAGCCATAAGGGGAAGGCAGCAGGCTATAACTTGTCGAAAGCTAAGTGGACTGTGGATTGTGTATAGAAAGTGTGTGTGTGTGTGGGTGTGTGTGTGTGTGTGTGTGTGTGTGTGTGTGTGTGTGTGTGGGTGTGTGTGTGTGTGTGTGTGTGTGTGTGTGTGTGTGTGTGTGTGTGTGTGTGTGTGTGTGTGTGTGTGTGTGTGTGTGTGTGTGTGTGGTGTGTGTGTGTGTGTGCATGTGTGCATGCGTGTCCCCCATGTTAACAAAACAGATTTCTGAATTGTTGACAGGTAGTGAATAAACATCCATATGCTAAGGCTTGTCCCCCCCCCCCCTCTCTCTCTCTCTTTCTTTCTTCTCCTCTCTCTCTCTCTCTCTCTCTCTCTCTCTCTCTATCTTCTCTCTCTCTTCTCTCTCTCTAGCTCTCCTCTCTCTCACTCTCTCTAGCTCTCTCTCTCTCTAGCTCTCTCTCTCTCTCTCTCTTGCTCTCTCTCTCTCTCTCTCTCTCTCTCTCTCCTCTCTCTCTCTCTCTCTCTCTCTCTCTGTCTCTCTCTCTCTCTCTCTCTGTGACAATCCATCAACAGCTCATTGTACAATTGCAGTTCCACACTGCAGAACATCAAAAATAATTCTCACTGTAGACCAGGTTGGAATTGAACCAAAATCCCTTTCTTCAGCCCGTACATACTGTAAATCAAAACCCAAACAGACCACCTAATGGACCACATATCTCCAAGCAAAGCACCTACTGCCTAAACCAATGTAAATACCATGCCAGAGCCAAAGCATATATTATTATAAGCCACATTTAAGTTGATCACCTGGGATCACAGGTCACCTATTTCACACAATCAGTAGACCATGAAAGCCAGGATTGGCCCGCCAACTGGGCATTGGCATTGAACCTGTGTGCCAAGGAGTCTGGAGGACTGAAGGAGGGGTGGAGGAGGGACGGAGGGGTGGCAGGATGGAGGGGTGGCAGGATGGAGGGGGTGGGGAGAACACAGGAGAGACCAAGCTGAGATCAAGCTGTGGTCTGAGTTAAGTTGACATGCATTACCTCATTTGTCACCCACACACCAATAGAGAGTGGCTGAACCCTGCCTAGAGTCAGCTTTCATTAGGATATGCTTGAGAGATGGTCGTCCGCACACAAACAGGGACCAGAGACACTGAGACACCAAGTCCTGGGCCAGACTGGGGACAGACAGACACAGGGCCAGAGACAGAGACAGAAAAGGCCAGGCCCAGAATGGGCCAGAGACACGGGATCAATAAATGACTGTATGACTGCTGTTTTTCACAGGTACAGTACAAGAGACCATAAGACTTGCAGTGACATGAATTAAACTTTGTTCCATTTGGCACTGTCTTAATACAATTGAAGTACTTAAAGTCTACAAGGATATATGTTTGGTAAGTGGTTATTCTTTTGGAACTTCTGAGTGTAATGTTTACTGTTAATATTTATTGTTTATTTCACTTTTGTTTACTATCTACTTCACTTGCTTTGGCAATGTTAACATACGTTTCCCGTGCCAATAAAGCCCTTAAATTGAATTGAAATTGAATTGAAAGAGAGAGATGTATTTCAAGGGCAGAGATCAGGACGCTAAAGAGACAGCTAAGAAGCGTACATTAACCAGACACGGAAAATAACTGTGAATTTATGAATGACAACCAGACCTTTGCAGAGCCCTGTTATTGTCTACGGTGTCTCTATATCTTAGTCTAAAGAACATGCTTCACTAAACCAATGACGTGGTTCACCGAACTATTCTTTAATAGTGACAGCCATCCAAGTTACAACTTGACCTCGTCCTGACCGCAGGGCACCATAAGATATAAATACATAATGTGTCAAGAGGTCAAAGGTAAAAGCAGTGCATTATGGGGGCCACAGGGGGTACCCAGAGGAAGCCTCTTTTAGCGCACGAAAGATACCCACCATAATATCACTGAGTCTAAGGGCGTGTCTATAGTAAAGAATGTCTTACATCCAGTCTTAAACCAATCATGTTTAAAAACAGTGACATTTGAGATGTAAGGCTCCCTGGTTACAAAGTGGTTAGCTCTATGCCGTTGTTGTTAAAAACACAGACAAATCCATCCTCTCTCTCTCTCTCTCTCCTCCTCTCTCTCTCCGTCTCTCCGTCTCTCTCCCCCAACCAATTCTCTCTCTCTCTCTCTCTCTCTCTCTCTCTTCGCTCTATCTCTCGTCTCTCTACTCTCTCTCTCTCTCTCTCTCTCTCTCTCTCACTCTGTCCCTCTCTGTGGTTCTCTCTCTGACATTTACATAGTGTACATGTTTAATTACAGAGTGAAGAAAGATGGGAGCAGCAACACTGGCCAGATCAAAACAAAAGGAGTCGTCATGTGACCTTTGATGTACCCTTGCCCTGGGCAACATACCTTTTATCCAAAACACACACCCGACCCAGTTAACCACTACACACCCACCCACACACACAATCCCACCAAAACACATACTCTTAACGGACCAGAGACAGGTGCACACCGGAAACGTTTGATTAAACAATCAAATTATTTTAAGGAATCTATCTAACAGCTGCAGATTCCTATATAAGTGCAATAGAAGCAGAAGATATATTTTTAGAGATAAGAGGAAAGGAGAGAGAGGTTTATTTTATGATGTGTAAGTGAAGACAGAGAAGCAAACAGACAGTTAGCTACTTCACTTCTGCAGCACTTATCCTAGACATGACTTTACATCAGAAACACGTCCAAACTTCTGTTTTTCAGACCCTGCCCCCTTAATCTAGTCTGTCAGTGAACTCATATAACCTCCCCATCCCTTACAACCTCCAGTCCAGAAAAAGTAACAACCAGCAGACATAACAGTCAGTGGGCCACCTTTGTACCGTCCTACAGGGACACATAAAGCAGGCTGTCATGAACAGAGGGTACATGAGAGAGGGGAGGGTGGAGGAGGGGGAGGGGTGGAGTGTATGCAGGGCTAAATTCTGTGCCGCTAACTGGTAATATCAGCCGGGGATGAATAGACGGTCTCATGGCTGTGGCTCAGTAGGGGGGCTGGAAAAGGAGGGGAGGAGGGAAGGAGGGGAGGAGGAGGAGGAGGAGGAGGAGGAGGAGGAGGAGGTGGGGAAGAAGGGAACAGGGGGTTGAGGAAGGTCTGAAGGGACAATGAAAGGCTCTCATTCATCCACTCAGTCCTGTATGGCTAACTGGACCCTTCAGACGCTGTGAAACAGGTATCATAGACTAACAGCAGTATATTGTAGAGTTAAGCCGATTTACAAGGAACATTCTAAGTTCAAACTATGTGAAATGGCTTTGAAGAGCCAGTAGCAGCAGCCGAGTCAGCCCACAGTCAGGGCAAGGCAGGGTTAGGTTAGGTTAGGGCTAGAGCCAGCAGCAGTCAGCCCACAGTCAGGGCAAGGCAGGGTTAGGTTAGGTTAGGGCTAGAGCCAGCAGCAGTCAGACCACAGTAAGGGTTAGGGTTAAATCAAATAACATTTTATTTGTCACGTTTCGTAAACAACAGGTGTAGACTAACTGTGAAATGCTTACTTATGGGTCCTTCCCTACAATGCAGAGATAAAATAAATTGAAATAGTAGAAAAATTGAAAAAATTGAATTGAAAAATAATAACACAAGGAGTAAATACACAATGAATAATGATAACTTGGCTATATACACAGGGTACCAGTACCGAGTCCATGTGCAGGGGTACAAGGTAATTGAGGTAGATATGTACATATAGGTAGGGATAAAGTGACTAGGCAACGGGATAGATAATAAACAGTTATGGTTAGAGCCAACAGCAGAGTTGATCAGCCCACAGCCAGGGTTAGGGTTATGGTTACAGCCAGCAGCAGAGTTGATCAGCCCACAGCCAGGGTTAGGGTTATGGTTAGAGCCAGCAGCAGAGTCGATCAGTCCACAGCCAGGGTTAGGGTTATGGTTACAGCCAGCAGCAGAGTTGATCAGCCCACAGCCAGGGTTAAGGTTATGGTTAGAGCCAGCAGCAGAGTCGATCAGTCCACAGCCAGGGTTAGGGTTATGGTTAGAGCCAGCAGCAGAGTTGATCAGCCCACAGCCAGGGTTAAGGTTATGGTTAGAGCCAGCAGCAGAGTCGATCAGTCCACAGCCAGGGTTAGGGTTATGGTTAGAGCCAGCAGCAGAGTCGATCAGTCCACAGCCAGGGTTAGGGTTATGGTTAGAGCCAGCAGCAGAGTTGATCAGCCCACAGCCAGGGTTAGGGTTATGGTTAGAGCCAGCAGCAGAGTTGATCAGCCCACAGCCAGGGTTAAGGTTATGGTTAGAGCCAGCAGCAGAGTCGATCAGCCCACAGCCAGGGTTAGGGTTATGGTTAGAGCCAGCAGCAGAGTTGATCAGTCCACAGCCAGGGTTAGGGTTATGGTTAGAGCCAACAGCAGAGTTGATCAGCCCACAGCCAGGGTTAAGGTTATGGTTAGAGCCAGCAGCAGAGTTGATCAGCCCACAGCCAGGGTTAGGGTTATGGTTAGAGCCAGCAGCAGAGTCGATCAGCCCACAGCCAGGGTTAGGGTTATGGTTAGAGCCAGCAGCAGAATCGATCAGCCCACAGCCAGGGTTAGGGTTATGGTTAGAGCCAGCAGCAGAGTCGATCAGCCCACAGCCAGGGTTAGGCAGGGCCAGAGAATGATGAGGAGTCAATCCCCACCCCACAGCCCCCCATAAACAAACACACTCTCTCACAGGCAAACACAGCCCTGTCCTCTGCATTCACACCACAGGGGTGACCTTTACCCGCCCAGACACCATGTGTTTCAATTTATCTCACGTGACATTCAGCCCATTGTCAGACATTATTTACATCCTAACTCACTCTAACCCAATACTGTCCACCTCTGCCTGAACTGCAGGGACCTGGACATAGTACACAAGGGACAGAGATAACACACACATCACTAAAGGGAGACGTGATAAAGTCAGAGAGACACTAGAACATTTATCTTCTAACAATAATCACCTTTACTAGAGTAGGTAAATGTCATGCCATACCTCTAAAACTTCCACAATTAAAGTTCCTTCAGGAAAAATAAAGTTATGTCCATGTAAACTCAACCTAGCTCATGTTTCTCTTTTCTAGCCCAAAAAACTCACTAAAACATAAAATACTCCTCTTTTAACCACTAAAAACTGTTTCCTACACTTTAATAAGCTACAGCATTTCCCTCACAGCTTCAGTGCCTATTTGAAGTTCCCTCCAAATGAAAAGCACCTGCAGTGGACAACCAAACATTCCTACAGTCCAGTGTTGTGTGATCAGTGAACCCATCACCCCTGAAGTTGCACTGTGTCTAACAGTAGGGTTAGGGTTAGGCCCAGATCTTTAATTGCACGCTATAGGAGGCGCTTCAATGTAGGTGAGAATGTTGTCTAGTAGCCTACCAGAGGTTTAATATCAGGCTACTTACACTACATGACCAAAAGCATGTGGACACCTGCTCGTCGAAAATGTCATTCCGAAATCATGGGCATTAATATGGAGTTGGTCCCCCCTATAACAGCCTCCACTCTTCTGGGATGGCTTTCCACTAGATGTTGGAACATTGCTGCGGGGACTTGCTTCCATTCAGCCACAAGAGCATTAGTGAGGTTGGGCACTGATGATGGACGATTAGGCCTGGCTTGCAGTCGGCGTTCCAATTCATCCCAAAGGTGTTCGATGGGGTTGAGGTCAGGACTCTGTGCAGGCCAGTCAAGTTCGTCAACACCAATCTCGACAAAACATTTCTGTATGGACCTCGCTTTGTGCACTGGGGCATTGTCATACCGGAACAGGAAAGAGCCTTCCGCAAACTGTTGCCACAAAGTTGGAAACACAGAATCGTCTAGAATTTAGCGTTAAGATTTACCTTCACTGGAACTAAGGGGGGGCCTAGCCCGAACCATGAAAAACAGCCCCAGACCATTATTCCTCCTCCACCAAACTTTACAGTTGGCACTATGCATTGGGGCAGGTAGCGTTCTCCTGGCATCCGCCAAACCAAGATTAATCAATGAGAATGCCAGATGGTGAAGCGTGACTCATCACTCCAGAGAATGTGTTTCCACTGCTCCAGAGTCCAATGGCGGCGAACTTTACACCACTCCAGCCGTCGCTTGGCATTGCGCATGGTGATTTTAGGCTTGTGTGTGGCTGCTCAGCCATGGAAACCCATTGCATGAAGCTCCCGACAGACTATTTTTTCGCACTACGCACTTCAGCATTCGGCAGTCCCGTTCTGTGAGCTTGTGTGGCCTACCACTTCGCGGCTGAGCCATTGTTGCTCCCAGACATTTCCTCTTCACAATAACAGCACTTACAGTTGACCGGGGCAGCTCTAGCAGGACAGAAATTTGACAAACTGACTTGTTGGAAAGGTGGCATCCTTTGATGGTGCCACGTTGAAAGTCACTGAGCTCTTCAGTAATGCCATTCTACTGCCAATGTTCGTCTACGTAGATTGCATGGATGTGTGCTCAATTTTATACACCTGTCAGCAACAGGTGTTGCTGAAATAGCTGAATCCACTAATTTTGAAGGGGTGTCCACATACAGACCGCTATTCATCTGGAAATGGCCTTTGTGTCATGATCATCATGAAGCAAAATGACATCCAATGTCTCCTTCTGCTAGTAGAAATATCTGTCTTGGTCCTTTGTAAGGTGTCTAACAGTGTTGAATGTACAGTATTCCTGAGTCCACATAAGGCAGACAGACACTGAGCAGACTGGTCTAATTACCAATACATTCCTGCAGGTTACATCAAAGGAGAGTACAATACATTGGGTTGCGTCCCAAAATGGCAACCTGTTCCCTGTATTGTGCACTTTTGACCAGGGCCCATGGTAAAAGGTAGTGCACTATATAGGGAATAGGGTGCCATTTAGGACACAGCCATGGTCATGGAGGTGAGCACTCCACACTCCTTTTCTCACACAGCAGAGCAGCAAGAGTGGAGAGCTAACTACACATAACAGAGGAAAGCTGTGGCTGATTAGTACAATTTATGATGTACAGACGTCATTCCTCCAAAGTCATAAAGAAACAAAAGTGTTTGATCATGTACATGTATTGTACTGTCAATCGTTTTAGATTTAAGCATCTGTTAAGGGTTCTAGTTGTTTGATGTACTGTACAATCAAACATGGTGTTTGAGATGTTTCTTGCATTCTAAATCAATGGGCTACCAACATTACTCATAGTTGCATTGGTCGGATTCTAAAGACACAGAATCATTTTAAAGACGTTAAACATTCAGCGCATGCTTTTTTATTTGAAGTTAATAAATGAACACCCCTTGGTGCAATAATTAATGTATATCATGCAGCCTCCTGCATGATTGTCTCTCCATCAAGACCCTTTCAAAGAGTCATCAAGACACACACAGGCAGAGTCTTCCTCTCTGATTTGGCTATGTGATGAAATATCAACAACAATGAACTACAACTGATTATATGATACAAGGACACCAATGATTCTGTCTCTAAAGCTTGGCTCAATAAGGACAAAGATAGTTGGTACTACAAACTAGTTCCAATTTAGAATCTCCCAGATCTCTCTCAAATATCTTATGGCCCAGTGTACGCTGCAACATACATCAGTATGGTCGTATTCACAAGAAATCAAATTGAAGAAAGCAGACTGAACTTGTCTACTAAGAAACTCAAATTTTCGTTGCGAAACGTTTCGTTATGGCTTGCTACGGTGTGCAGTAATGAACACGACCCATGTTACACCAACCAATCAGAATTCACAGTACAGCATTAGATCCAACATCATGTGTTTACCTGAAAGACTTCCTCGTCAAGGATCCTGGTTCCGAACACGGTGATCCCGTTGGTGTTGATGGATGCACGGTCACTCCTGAGGAGGGGTTTGGTGATCTTCTGTTTACAGTCCACGATGATGGTGACCGTCTTCTTCTCAACACTGATGGCCACACGATGCCACCTGTTAGAGGGAACAAGAGAAACGAGATACATGGTGAGAGATGTTCAGATTAGACTTCTGCAAAAACCTAGCCTGCTTAAACCAGACTGAACGTTGCGGTCACCAAGTCAAACAGTGGAGTCGTTTGTAGCGTTTAGTCTGGTTTAACCAGGCTAACAAAAATCTCCACAAACAGACAGACCATGGTTGTGTCTCAAATGGCACCCTATTCCCTATATACTGTAGTGCACTACTATTTACCAGGGTCCATAGGACTCTGGTCAAAAGTAGAGCACTATATAGGGAATAGGGTGCCATTTGAGACACACACAAAGGGTTAACTGGTGTGGTCACGCGTAAACCCAACACCTCCCAAGCCCCCTTCAGGACAGTTTGCCACCGGCAGCACTTGGGCTATTACATTCCAGCCCAGGCCATGCAGCCAGGACAGGCAGTGGAGCACATTCTTGCCCCCACACTCTGGCCCTGTTTAACACGGGATTATACTCATTAAACTCCAAACTTAATCCTCCTTCTGGGTTACTCAACATGACAGACGTGCTGAACATTGTGGAAAGTGTGTGTCAGGAAAGAGCAAGAGGGAGCAGAAGGCACACAGTCAAAACATTGTCCTAAGGAGGAGGAGGAGGAGGAAGAGGAGGAGATAGCAGGAGGAGAGGGAGGAGGAGGAGGAGGAGAGGAGGAGGAGGAGGGCCGGCACTGATCAGATCCCACTGACCAAAAGCCAAACCAAGGCGCTTGAAGAACCAGTCAGTCAGCAATACTGATCAATATGGCTGCCCTTCGATGACAACACTTGTACTGTATACCTCTCATTATGATAGCAACCCAATCATTTAGTTAATCCTCCATTATGCATGAAGCAAATGCACATTTTTGATTTTGGCAGTAATTATAAATTAAATCCACTCTCTCATCTGACGGTTGCTTCAGCCGATACCTTGGAAATGTTTGAATGTCTTTCCTTTGAATGACACTACAGCAATACTTTAATTTGACCACTGTTCAAGTACGCATTTACAGTATATCTCTATAACAATGCATAAACTGAAGGAGGCTGGCCGGGTAGATAGGCAGCATTAGTTACAGCCTAGTCAGTGAGGATATGGAAAAGGCCTAGTGTTGGACTTCAGCCAGGTCCTTAAGTGCTAAAATCCTGCACAGAGAACATTGCTCTTTAGACAGTAGGTCACAAAACTGCTCAGTGGACAAAAGCACCCCACAGAACTGCCACAAAGTGGGGGCTACTCTTTCTCTGTGGTGTTAGAATGGCAGCATGGTCTCTACTCTTTCTCTTAGTGTTAGAACCGACAGCATGTCTACGTTTCTCTTGTGGTTTAGAATGGCACATGGTCTGACTTTTTGTGTCTAGAAGGCATGTCTACTCTTATACTGTGTAGAATGCAGCATGTCTCATCTTTCCTGTGGTGTAGAATGGCAGATGGTCTTACTCTTTCCTTGTGATGAATAGGCAGCAATCTTATCTTTACCTGTGTGTAGATTGGCAGCATGTTCTCTACTTCTCTGTGGTGTTAAATGCAGCATGGTCTCTAGTCTTTCTCTGTGGTGTAGAATGGCAGCATTGTCTACTACTCTTTCTCGTGGGTAGGTGGAGCATGGTCTCTACTTGTCTGTGTGTGAATGGCAGCATGGTCTCTACTCTTCTCTGGTGTTAGAATGTGCAGCATGGTCTACTCTTTCTCTGGTTAGAATGGAATGGTCTCTAACTCTTCTCGTGGTACAAGCAGCATGGCTCTACCCTCGACTGCCGTAGATGGCAGCATGGTCTACTCTTTCTCTGTGGTGTTAGAATGGCAGCATGGTCTCTACTCTTTCTCTGTGGTGTTAGAATGGCAGCATGGTCTCTACTCTTTCTCTGTGGTGTTAGAATGGCAGCATGGTCTCTACTCTTTCTCTGTGGTGTTAGAATGGCAGCATGGTCTCTACTCTGTCTCTGTGGTGTTAGAATGGCAGCATGGTCTCTACTCTTTCTCTGGTGGTGTTAGAATGGCAGCATGGTCTCTACTCTGTCTCTGTGGTGTTAGAATGGCAGCATGGTCTCTACTCTGTCTCTGTGGTGTTAGATGGCAGCATGGTCTCTACTCTTCTCTGTGGTGTTAGAATGGCAGCATGGTCTCTACTCTGTCTCTGTGGTGTTAGAATGGCAGCATGGTCTCTACTCTTTCTCTGTGGTGTTAGAATGGCAGCATGGTCTCTACTCTTTCTCTGTGGTGTTAGAATGGCAGCATGGTCTCTAATCTTTCTCTGTGGTGTTAGACATAACATTTTATAAACCTCTAACAAAAAAAAAACATTTTCTCTCATGAAACCAAGGACCTTTAATGTATCTAAACATGACAAGTGGAAAATATCAATCTTATACCTATCTAGGTCACAAATGTCCACTGACCGGGTTACGGCTTCTTTCAAGCCCAGGAAAACAAACTATACTGTAAAAAAAATATATAAATATAGACTAATTGGCTGCTTAGGAAAACAACACAGAGAGACATAATAAAACTATTTGTTAAGATGAAAAAAGAGAGAGCGTTTTCTCAGCGTCTCCTCTGTTTGTTTGTTCTTCCATGTTTCACCACCGGCTCATGTACACTAAGCTGCAGCTCCCAGGAAGAATTCCGGGATTTTCAAACCCCGAGCGGATAATCAGGCATCCACTGACGGAAGCTAAGAGACTCTGCACGGAATCTGATTGGATGAGGTAATCCAGGAGGTTAATCATTTAAGGTTAACATCCCCCCTCCCCTCTTCCAACCTCTCCTCCATTTTCCTCTCAGAGGCACAGGGTTCATGGCTGAGGTCAGAGTACCCATGGTAGTCCCTGGCGCACAACTAATCCACTGTCTCGGACCCTCGTATCCCCCTGTACTTCTGTTACTACCCAGGACCCCCCTAACCCTTCGTATCCCCCCGTGCTGCAGCCCAGGATCTAACCCTAACCCTGGGACAGACCTAATCAGAACTAATCCTGTGATGGGTACCTGTGGTGAGATGGGCACCTGTGGTGAGATGAGGTGAAGAAGTTGTCTGCTTCTTAGTGAATACAGAGGACATGGCAGCAAGTAGGTATGATTAGGGCTATCATACAGCCCATGGCTGTACCTTGGTTTTATATATTACATGCCCCCTGACAAACATCCCAGCACTACTAGTCGCGTCAAGCTGAGCATGACTGAAAGGCATTCAAATACTACAATGGTTTGGCTTGCAGTGATAACATAGAACCTATGACGACTAGTAAGACAAATCACATACACCAAATAGATTGTCAAGGCACTCTGAGCATGCACCAGGTTTGCGTATGGACAGAGTCAGAGTGAAGAGACATACACCAGCTTAACTAAGCTCTGTTTTCATCCCTTTACCCTCCCTCCTCAACATCCATCCCTCCTTCCCTCTAGTCTCTGTGAGCAGCGATGGTCTCCCTCCCTCCCTCCCTCCCTCCTCAACATCCATCCCTCCTTCCCTCTAGTCTCTGTGAGCAGCGATGGTCTCCCTCCCTCCCTCCCTCCCTCCTCAACATCCATCCCTCCTTCCCTCTAGTCTCTGTGAGCAGCGATGGTCTCCCTCCCTCCCTCCCTCCTCAACATCCATCCCTCCTTCCCTCTAGTCTCTGTGAGCAGCGATGGTCTCCCTCCCTCCCTCCCTCCTCAACATCCATCCCTCCTTCCCTCTAGTCTCTGTGAGCAGCGATGAGCCTCCTCTACCTCCCTCTCCCTGCTCTCTGTGAGACCAACCAGAAGCAGTAGTGGTACTTACTTTCCGTCGGCCAGGTTGAGAGAGCGGAACAGGGGGTAGTCCTCGGGAGCGGGCTTGCCACTCTGGTCCTCATACAGGAAGACAGGGTGAGCGTCCCACCTCCACACCCAGCTGCTGCACACCCTGCTCACTGTAGACAGACAGAAGGAAGGACTGGAGGCCAGCCTTGGGCCTGAGGGTGGTCAGGATGGAGAAGTCTTCAGGGAACACACCCCCTACAGAACACACAGGTTGGGTTAGAAATACAGAGATACAGTAAGACACCCCCTACACAATGCACAGAACGCAGGTTAGATCAGGTTAGAAATACACAGGGAACACCTTATGTGACTGATTCAATCGTAAGATGTGTATTGATTACTACATAAAGGAAATCAAATGTGAGGATTCAGTTACCCTTTACATTTTCACATAAATGTATACAGTTTCTTAAATACTTTTATGTTGTTTAGTGTAAGGTCTCATGCGACTACCACCAGGTTTACAACATTTCAAGCATCCTAATAGACATGAGCTATTCGTCCACTACGTTTATTCATGTACATTTCCAGGCTTGTGGACAATTCTAGAAGTTTTAGAGGGCAATGATATTGAATATGTAAAATTTCACGTCTTTAGAGTTTAATTTTCCTTTCGGAAGAGCCAAATTGGAGTGCAACCAATGTCTGCACATTAAAATAGATTTATTGACACTTTGAGTTTATTAGACACAAAAAATGATCCATTAGCAATTTGATAAGTTGCGCCAAAGAGGAATAAACATCATAAAGATATCCTACAAAACTTTATGAGGAAATAAAGTTACTCCAACTAAACAGATCTATGAATGAGTCATAGATGGGTTTGAATACCCAACTGAAATAAATCAGAATCTTACTGGCTCTCATAAAACAGCTGAATCACCTCTGGTGTATAATCAAGACTCATAATAATAGTTTATTACTTCTACATTTCTGCCATTGAGTTCATATTCTTCCATTGAGTTCATATTCTTCATTCCACGCAACCCTGTCCTATAGGCACTACTGTAAGCTTAACATCCAGATTGTTTTGTCATGTAAATCCATTCAGTGGTCTATGTTTTTGCTGATCTGTTTGTAGGAGCTTCGCTACCTGACTTATTCATGCATAAAACTTTACATGAGTTACAACTGTTGAAACTGTTCATTCCAGCCCTTTCGAGCCATAGACATTTCATCAATGGTCTTTAAATCTATTAAACAAACAGAAGCAGACAAAGTACAGTACACCAACTCTACTATGCTTCAGACTGCACAAGAACCTGCACTGTACTGTAGTTAGACTAGCTAGTTCTCTCAGCCAGATCTCTCTCTGGGGTTGGTGCATTACAAACACTCTGAGCTAGATATACAGCACTGCCACATAATCAGATCAGGGATGGCATCTCCTGTCAAAAGCCTTGGCAGGACCAACAAAAGACACATTTAAACACCACTCCTTCCACTCTGCACAGCCAGGATGTGGGGCAGGACAGAGAGAGACAGGGGCGATAGAGGGATCGGGTTCGTCTTACCTGGGAATAGCTGCTTGGTGGGGGCACTGATCTGGGCCTGTTTTCCAACTCTGTAGGCTGTGTCCGGCTTAGATGCTCTTCGGTTTATGCAAAATCCTGATGTTTTCCTAACTCCTTCAGGGGAATTGTGAAATTCTAATACTTTTAGCACGTCGACCGGTTCAGCTGTTGGAGAGAGAGAGCAGATACAACATGATATATAATCTCAGAAGCACTTCAGAAGGCACATGAATCTAGATGGCACAGCACTCCGTTTCAACAGTTAGAATGTCAAGCAACCATAATCTATTGCAATTAGATAAAATGTATGTGTCACGTCATACCAAACTACTGTTTCATTCATGAACAGGGCCGTAGAGCCTTCAATAGAAAGCACATTTCAATCCAATGAACCATGTGTAAGGGGACTCATCAAATAAAGTGTTACCGAATATCTCAATCTTTTATTAAGAAACCATATTTATCTACTGAATATTCCCATTCTGGTGATAACCTAATGAGGAAATAAATCAAATAATTGAACATAGACAGAAGCATTGGACAATATGTCAGATGCAGCATAAACCATAGAATAAATCACCCACAGGGCACAGACGTCAATTCAACGTTTATTCCACGTTGGTTCAACGTAATTTCGTTGACGTTACATGGAAAAAAAACGTTGATTGAACCAGTGTGTGTCCAGTGGGCTACACACTGGTTATATCCCCCCCCAACCCCCCAAAAAACAGGAGCCCATTGTGACACATCTGTGTGATCTGCAGGCCCAGCTAACACTGTACTGTACCATGTGACAGGAAGTATCTCCATCAAAGCAGAATGGCTACTAGCAGCATAATAAACAGTGCTCCCATGGCCGGCCAATCTTACAACACAGTGTTGTGGATATAGGTATACTTTGATAAGGGTCACAGTCAGAGCCTGCACTCTGGGTTTCCCATTCCCTCCAATCTGATGCTCTTTACATAAAGGAGCCTGTGTTTGATCTGACACCCCAGTGAGACAGACCCATGGGAAAGCTGGGATGGTGATCATACTGTTTATCAAAACACCTTCTCAATGTTAACATCAGCTCTATGATAGGGCTAGGAGACTGGGAGGTAGTGCGCTATTCCCAAGAGTTCAAAATTGAGTGTTAGTATAGCACAGAAAACAGTAGACTACTAAGAGAGAACAAGAAATCTGCCTAGACTCAAAATCATGAGTGAGGAATTGAAACTGAGACTTGTTTCAGACTGTGCAATAGAATAATATACACATTAAACAGGCAATACACTACCAGATTGTTAAGGGGCTAGAACCTTAATCTGTTTTTACACGGTGCAGAACCAGCCCTAGCTGTATAAAGGCATCAGCTAAGCCTTCTGTGGCTGGTCTAAAACCACTGTTTGCTTTGGCATGCGCCAGTCAGATCATTCAGAGGTTTCTTTAACTACTTTATACAAGGGGATCTTATAAAAATCTATATTTTCCTCTCAACACACTCAGGCAGACATTCCAGCTCCACCAGGAACAAGCAAACTATAATGACATGCTTCATACTGCTCAATGGAACATGTGGAGAATCCTGTCCCTGTTTCAACATGAAGCTATTTCCATTGCATAAAAGGATGTCTTCAGTACTAACTAGGTTATACATACATACATGACTACTGAGCCAAAACCAGCTGTTCTAACTAAGTCCATAATGGACTGGTTTCACACCTCAAACCAAACGCATGACATGCTTTAATATAGCTATTCACTATGACTATTATCTTGTTATATATTTCACAGCATGAGATGTTGTTTCTGCATTTATCTCATTGGGTCATCAACATCACCATTAGTGACAGTCTAATCAGTTTGTGTTTAGTTGGGGTGTGTGAGTCTCACTGATTAAAGAAAAGGAAAGTGTGAGTCTCACTGATTAAAGAAAAGGAGAGGCCGGAGATTTACTGTATTCAAAACAATTTTCAGCAACGTTTCGGTCCTGCAACTTTTTTCAGGCTACATGCAAAAAGCTTGAACTGAAATCAATTTCGGAAGTATATTTAACCTTTATTATCAGTGCTTAATTAATGACTGACAGGTGTCAGAGAGAAGTTGCTATAGGTCATATGTCATACCTATATCATTCCCATGATAAAAAATTAGTGCACCCACCTAGGAGGTTCATATCTGGGTCTCTTGTCTCATATAGGACTGACAGCTACCATGATTAAAACATGTGTCTCAGGATAGACTCAGGACAGACTCAGGATAGACTCAGGATAGACTCAGGATACTCAGGAAAAACTATAGTCTTTTCATACATTACCAAAAAACTACTTCTCCAAAACGTCTAGCATAAAATTAAACAGCAACCACTCTCCTTAATCTATGCTTTGAGGCCTGGGTTGAAAAGGAGAAGAAAAATAAACTGTGTCTGAGAGAGTCTGCAGAGGCAGAGTACCACACACACACACACACACACACACACCACACACACACACACACACACACACACACACACACACACACACACACACACACACACACACACACACACACACACACACACACACACACATTCACACACACACATACACACACACACATACACCAGCAGCACATTCCCTGGTCTGAGAACACACTCATGACCCCCTTAAATCTCTCAAAAGCAAAGGTCTGTCACATCTATTATTCTGTGTCCCAAAGGAAACCTTCTTTGTGTTGACCAGTCTGCCTGCCCATTGAACCAACCATACCCCAACTCCCCCTCCATCACACCAAGGCTATAGCCCCTATATATGACTGAATCACTCACTCACCCAGGGGGAAAAGACAGAGACAGACTTAGCTACTCAAAATGGACTCAAAATGGAACAAAATCTATAGACAAAGTTAAAAAGAATCTCAGAAGAATATAACGTTACAACAGAGTGAGAGAGAGGGTGATAGGGGTATCATCTCCAAGACCACATGGCCATTTTGGATACTGTGAAAGGTACCCAGGCAGCTACTGAAGAGCTCTTTGTGAATGAGTTTTATTTCAAGAGAGCACCTCTCTCTCTCTCTGTCAGCTCTAACTCTGTCTCTAGGCCTCATATATTCCAGATGGGTGGTAATTTGGCCAGTTGCTGACCCGCTCACCCAGGTGCCAAAAAAACGTAAATACACCCAAATCCATTAAAACACCAAATGAGTGTGTGAAGTCTCTAAAACTACCCATCTGATGAGCTGGTGTGAGTTTGCTCATGGCCGCTGTGCAAATAAGGACACATATCTCCCAGTCCAAGTCCCTAGGTGGCACGGGAAGGAAAGGGGCCCTACATAATCCAAAGGGGAAAAGGGCCAACTCATGGTATCTACATACAGGGGCCTCCACTGTTGCTCAGTTATTGGCTGTTCAAAAATACCTACCAGTGAGGCTGCTGAGGGGAGGACGGCTCATAATAATGTCTGGAATGGAGTGAATCGAATGACATCAAACACATGGAAACCATGTAGGATGTATTTGATACCATTTCACCTATTCCGCTCAGCCATTACCACGAGCCCGTCCTCCGCAATTAAGGTGCCACCAACCTCCTGTGAGACCTACGGTGTGCTAATTTATGAGGTTGCGGGGAAGAAGATAGCTAGGTAACATTAGCATAAAATATACATGGATTGCAGGTATTTCTGTGTTACCTGTCATGTTAACACAGATGGATATTAATGCAGATTTATAGACAAGACAACAGCGTGTTTCTGGCAATTCTACACAGACTAAAACATAGTTCTGGGAACGTGCTCTTCTGCTCTTTACTCATCACAAAACATGCCAGACCATCATTCAGATATGAGGAGCATGTAAGAAGGATATATTCTGTTCCAGACTTTGTTGTTTTTGGCTAAGGAGGTGAAATTGGCTGGTAAAAAGAGAATACCTTTTCACCTGCTGCTCCCTGAGACTCTAATAATGTATTCAGCCAGAATGTCTCTCCCTCTACCCCTCTCTTACTCTACCCCTACTCTATCCCTCTCCCTCTCTCACTCTACCCCTACTCTCTCCCTCTCCCTCTCTCACTCTACCCCTACTCTCTCCCCTCTCCCTCTCTCACTCTACCCCTACTCTCTCCCTCTCCCTCTCTCACTCTACCCCTACTCTCTCCCTCTCCCTCTCTCACTCTACCCCTACTCCTCTCCTCTCTCCCTCTCTCACTCTACCCCTACTCTCTCGCTCCCTCTCTCACTCTACCCCTCTACTCTCTCCCTCTCCCTCTCTCACTCTACCCCTCCTCTCTCCCTCTCCCCTCTCCCTCACCTAACCCCTACTCTCCCTCTCCTCTCCCTCTCTCACTCTACCCCCTACTCTCCTCCTCTCTCTCCCTCTCTCACTCTAACCCCCTACTCTCCCTCCTTCCCTCTCTCACCTCCTACCCCTACTCTCCATCTCCCTCTCTCACTCTAACCCTCCCTCCACTCCCTACCCCTACCCCTCTCTCTCCCTCTCCCTCTCTCACTCTACCCCTACCTCCTCGCCCCTCTCTCACTCTACCCACTCGCTCCCCTCTCCCCTCCCTCTCCACTCTAAACCCCTACTCTCTCGCTCCCTCTCTCACTCTAACCCCTACTTCTCTCCCTTCCCCTCTCTCACTCTAACCCTACTCTCTCCTCCCTCTCCTCTACCACTCTACCCCTCCTCTCTCCTACCCTCTCCCTGCCTCTCACTCTAACCCCTACTCTCTCCTCCCCTCTCTCACTCTAACCCCTACCTCTCCTCTCCCTCTCTCACTCTACCCCCTACCTCTCTCTCTCCCTCTCTCACTCTACCCCTCCCTCTCTCCTCTCCTCTCCTCACTCTAACCCCTACTCTCCTCCTCCCCTCTACTCACTCTAACCCCTACTCTCTCCCTTCCCTCTCTCACTCTACCCCTACTCTCTCCCTCTCCCTCTCTACACTCTACTACCCCTACTCTCTCCCTTCCCTCTCTCACTACATAACCCCTACTCTCTCTCCCCTCTCTCACTCTACACCCTACTCTCTCCTCTTCTCTCCCTCTCTCCCTACCCCTACTCTCCTCCTCTCTCACTCTACCCCTATCTCTCCTCCCTCTCTCACTCTACAAACTCCCTACTCTCCTCCCCATCTCCATGCTCTACAGCTCCAACACTTCTTACTCTCTCGTCTCATCACTAACCCTACTCCCAATTCCCCCTAATATTATCTATCCTTCCTACTTCGCCCAGCAAAATTTATGTTGCATACCAAATTCAGAACCCATCGTAGTGTTGAGCCACCACCACAGTAAAACTGTTCCGATGAGAGTAGCAAAATACTAAGAAGTCATACGTAGACATCGTCCTAGAAGAGGAAGAGACGAAGAATAGAGAAAGAAAAAAGGAGAGATGAGAGAGAGAGAGAGAGAGAGAGACGAGAGAGAGAGAGAAGGAGAGAGAGAGAGAAGAGAGAAGGAGAGAGAGAGAGAGAGTAGAGAGGGAGAGATAAAGCCCTTTGAATTGAATTGAAAGAGAGAGATGTATTTTCAAGGGCAGAGATCAGGGTAGAGTAGAGTAGAGTAGAGTGGGTTCTGAGGGTTCTGTCTGTCTGAAGGAATGCACCAGAGAGGAGCCCATGCCTCAGCGGCTGTGAAAACATGTCTGTACACTGTTAGCTCAGAGAAGGCACCCTGCAGAAACAGCCTAATGCGCCATAAACACCAGCAGAGAAACTCACAATGACATAAAACACATACTGTATATACAGTAGGCTATAGGACAGGAAAATGAATGGAAGTGAATAGTAAATAGTCACTTATATGGGTTTGAACAATGACAAGGTCTGTGTAGGCCTTGTTCTGCTCTGGACGGCCATTAGCAAATATTGAAAGACTGAAAGGGGCGACACATATACGTGAACAAATATAATACATCAACTGGTCCTAGAAGTACAATCATTAGAATGGAAGTAAGAAGCTAATTAAAAAGACCAATGTCATCTCTGGTTTAGATTCAGTCTGATAAATCGCTCTTAATGAAATATCTACAATATCATAATGTTGTAATAAAGTGTGTAGCCTAAGGAAAAGAAAGATGCATGTATCCTGAAGACCTGGACTCAGTGACTCACTCACCCGCCATTATGGGAGTAAGACTGGCCTGTATGCTGCTGGCCTGCATGCTGCTGGCCTGTATACTATTGGCCTGCCCTTTGAAGCCTCTACAATAATAGGGAAGTGCAAAGAGAACCATCATCAAATAACTGCACAGCACTTAGACTGGAAACATTCCCACCATGGAGGGAGTGTGCACTGCTCAGAGCTCAGACAACGCGGCCTTGTCTCCCCAACCCAAACATGCAAGTGCAAAATTCAGGGGGAAAAGTTGGGCACAGTGTTGCACAATCCCCTCCAGTCTCTCGTTGGTCTTCAGTGCGGGCTAGGGCAGTGTGGAGAAAGGGTGCTCCTTTTGGCAAGTCAGTGATGTGCCGCTTGACCACTCAGAATCTATCAGAAAGTCCACGGGCACTGACCTTGAGGCTGCTGCAGTGCAGGGGCAGACTGGGACCAAAAATCTGCTCTGGCATTTCTAACACAACAGCCCATTTTTTTTCCTGGAGGCTCACACACCGGTCCATTTTATACCTTGAGGCCCCCATTATTAGCCAGATAATATCATTCTGCGCAAAAAGTTAGACAGGCCGGCCGACCAGGCTAAAAATGTACCAGCCCATCTGGTATTTGAAATACCAGTTGGCCAGTCCGCCCCTGGGCAACCCTACACCATCCATGACCCTAAATAATGTCAGGACATTTGCGGTGCCATGTTAAAATGCGAATAAATAAAGTCTAGTTAAATAATTAACAATCTCCTTATTATTAATGAAAATGTACCCATGACACACGCTTCCCCAGTGGATAAGTCTGAAGGGTCTGCCACACTGCACAACTCCCCAATGTCACTGATCAATCGATGCCAATATTCAATATTCAATATCATTTCATTGTTGAAAATGGATTCCAGCTTGCAATGACCACACTTTCGGGAAAATACGCATTGTCTAGGCTACAGGGGGACAAGAGTGGCAGGTAGCTTAGCAGTTGGGTCGGTAACCGAAAGGTTGCTGGTTTGAATCCCCAAGCCAACTAGATGAAAAATCATTTGATGTGCCCTTGAGCAAGGCACTTAACCCTAATTGCTCCTGTAAGTCACTCTTGATAAGAGTGTCTGGTCAAATGTAAGTGAAATCAGATCTATATGGAAACATCACTGTTTTAATGTATTATAAAACAGCAATGTGACCACTGACAATAACTCATAAGGCCAATATTCAATGATACCGGATCCTTTAGAGAGATTCGGATAGCCTACTCCGGACTGAGGTCTAGAAATTTCCCGTGGCCCCGGAGCCATTAATAAAATTGACAGACACCTCTCCTCTGGCTGCAGAATTCTTTAACAAACTGTGAGGCTGCAATCACAAGCCGTGCGGAATTCCACCCCGTTAACCATGTCCACACACACCTAACGGACCAGTAATTCAAACAAGAGCTTTTTTCAGCATAAATCTCTAAAGCTGTCTCTAAATGGGGTGCTAGACAAATTCTTTAACGGCTCCTTCACAACGAAACTAAGCCAAGTACCAGGAAAGAAAAGCCTGTGCACTAAATTAACATTGTGCATAATTGAGGTAACTGTTTCAACTTTATGGTGGGTATATAAGGCTATTTAATCATGCATAAACATTTAGTGAAAAATAAGTAGAGGGTATATTAGTCACAATGCATTTCAATACATGTAAAATAAATCAAAATCTTCATAACCCTTTCAAACACTTGACATAGTGATACCTAAATATATTTGGAACCAATGTCAATAGTATGCAACGTAAATTTGGGTCCATATCTTTGAACTGAAATGTTCAATAGAATGTGTGATTCACTTTACTTTGTGAGGAGGGGCACTTTGGTACAATTGTACCTTGCCTTGAGTTAATTGGTAGCTATAGATCCACAGACCGATTGAGTGAATCATATATGGTCAGTCTCTTTCCTACCCTTCCTCTCACATCTAGTTGCGTTGCTAATTGAAAATACCTAATTAAATCCACACAGTTGCCAAAACCCGACCCTTTTGTCTTCCCTGATCTCTCCATCATGTTTTCCGACCAGACCCAAGTTTTCTGCCGCGGCTGGATGACAGTCCCTACTCGCTTGTACTTTTACACACACTTTTTTTGGATCCTAACAATTATTCTTACCTGCTCTGACATGTGTAGCCTGCAGAACCAGGGTTAAAGTGATGAATGCGGTTACAGTGGAATCCATAAGCCACCTTTTCGTCTTCCACCTTGTGGACCACCTTTGCATCTCCATGGTCGGCGCCCACAAAAGTGAACAAAACTTGGGCGACTTCAAGTGATTTTAAATGACGTCCCTTCCACAATCCCAAATGTGATGGATAATTACACTAAACAGCCATAAGCCTCTTCTCTCAGCCACTCCAGGCCCCTATACGGTCTTCCTTTCCAGTGCCCAGCCTTCTGACTGAAGGTATTTGGGCTTTAATCAAAAGTCCCAGAGAGCACTCGATACCCTAGGAGCTACACCGACAGGAGGGATGGGCAAACACCACAAACCAAACCCATGGTTACAGCGAAATGACAGAGTGAAAAAGACCCCGATTAGCAAATCACGGGGCTAGAAATTCTCCTTGGGATCCACCCATCAGTTTTGCAAAGCTCCTGCGAAGTCTTCACTGAGCGCGCGTCCACGTATAAAGCAAAAAAAAAATAGAAAGACAAAAAACGTCTTCTACTTTCTGGAAATGTCCCGGGAATTAACGGAATGCCATTGGGTTGAGAGAGAATTAGGCATGTGAGCAATTCTCACTGTTGGACGGTGTCTTGTGGACTGTCTGCCCTGTCCCACAATAATATTGTTCTGCTCTGGTCACCTGCTGCAGTTAGTGTTGGTTGTGTTCATATATGAGACAACATTAGTTTATTAGAGCAAACAAACTAATATTTTAAGATTAAGATCACTTTATTGGTCAATTGAACACAAGGTCCAACGGAAATTTTACTTCTGGTTTTAACCCAACCCCTCCAAAAGACACACACATATATACACTTACATATACCGTTTTTTTGGGAAGAGATGTGGGGGGCTGCCACAGGGCTTGACATAAGCAACCAGCCGGTTGCCACCTCACTTTATTGTATTATTACACATTTTCTGTAGATTTAAGCATCACTTCATGCATGAGCAATGCATGAGCAATGCATGTCATTGATTCATTTTCACTCTTGTTCTCCATGTAAAACCCTGACAGACCAATGAATATTCTCGTAAAATATTAGAATTTTCTCTTTTTAGGATAGCTCTAGAAATCCTACTGGGCTGGTCAATTATAGCTGACTGGGGGAGAGGGAGAAAGAGAGAGAGAGAGAGAGACAGCGAGAGAGCGAGAGAGAGAAAGAGAGAGAGTGAGACAGAGAGAGAGGGAGCGAGAGAGAGAGAGAGAGAGAGAGAGAGAGAGAGAGAGAGAGAGATGGGACGAGCAAGTGAGTGAGAGAGAGAGAGAGAGAGAGAGAGAGAGAGAGAGAGAGAGAGGGAAGAGCGAGTGAGTGAGAGAAAGAGAGAGAGAGAGAGAGAGAGAGGGGAAGAGCAAGTGAGTGAGAGAGAGAGAGAGAGAGAGAGGGGAAGAGCGAGTGAGTGAGAGAAAGAGAGAGAGCGAGTGAATGAGAGAAAGAGAGAGAGAGCGAGAGCTGTCAGATAGTGCTGCCTCTCACCTGACACCCCCCACTGAGACCACTCATCTGATCCAGTTGGCTGGCTGCTCACATGACCTCACAGGAAGGGCACAGACAGGTTACACACCCCCTACCCCCAGCCTCACTCCAGCCCAACTTATACCCCCTACCCCCAGCCTCACTCCAGCCCAACTCCCTATACCCCTACCTCCTACCTCCAGCCCTACTCCTCCCAGACGCATAGCCACAGTCTCAGGATGAGCAAGGGAAACGTCCACTGACAGAATGCTACATTTTAGGTCTTGTATGATCAATATTGTCTATTCTCTATTTGCTCCATAAGATGTGTTGCAACCAGGCACACTCTATCATGGACAGGTGCCTACTAACATGTCTACCCAGTCGGAAGCAGGATGTCTGTATACCCAATACAACTCTCTGTCTCTTGGCTGGCCTCAACACAGTAAGACATGGACCCAGACCAGATCACATCTGTCAACATGCTTGTGTTGTCTATCCTGGGATACACAGGTTGCATCCCAAATGGCACCATATCCCCTGTATAGTGCACTACCTTTTACCAGGGCCCATAAGGAATAAGGTGCCATTTGGGACATAGACACAGTCTTTGAGTTGATCCTTAGACTAGCCAATCACTTAGCCAAGTAGTATCAGATGGACTGTCAGGTCTCTTCACAGACAGACAGACACAGATCTGGGTAATTGTCTTGTGATGGATTGGTGTCCTGCCAGTACAGGGAGAGCTGCCCAGAACATCCTGCTTCTCCACGGTTCAGAGACCACAGGCCTGAGACAATGTGTGCATCCCAAATGGCACCCTATTCCCTAGACTACTTTTGACCAGAGCCCAATGGGCTTCTATGTAGGGAATAGGGTGCCATTTGGGACAAAGCCAATAGCACAGAACTGAGTAGCACAACTCCAGTTGGCAAATTCATGCAAGTGATTGTTTGGTGTATTGAATAATGCAAGGCTATCAACCATATAACATTTTTACATTTTACATTTTTAGTCATTTAGCAGACGCTCTTATCCAGAGCGACTTACAGTTAGTGAATACATATTTTTTTTATACTAGCCCCCCGTGGGAATCGAACCCACAACCCTGGCGTTGCAAACGCCATGCTCTATCAACTGAGCTACATCCCTGCCGGCCATTCCCTCCCCTACCCTGGACGACGCTGGGCCAATTGTGCGCCGCCCATGAGTCTCCCGGTCGCGGTCGGCGGCGACAGAGCCTGGATTCGAACCAGGATCTCTAGTGGCACAGTTAGCACTGCGATGCAGTGCCTTAGACCACTGCGCCACTCATTGGCTTATAGAATAACCAAATCATCCCATATAGCAACTGCTTGCTAAGGTTACGGTTAGGTTAAGAATAAAGGTTAGGGAAAGGGTTAAGTTTAGGTCTAGGGTTAGTGGATAGTTAGTTGAAATGTTGTTGACAGTTATTGAACATCTGCAAACCATCTACAACCCATCTACTTGGGACTATCCAAATCAAGTGTTACTGATAATGGAGGCAAGGCATGAAAAATATGGAAAATAATCTGATACATTGAGTAAAGGGTTGTGAAATTGGGTTACCATTTGGGTATTCACCATATTGGGTGTGTATGGCACATTTTTTAAAAGTCCTTTTGGATTGAAGATTATCAACAAAGCAAATACATTTGACTTCATGTTCATGACCCAGTTGGTCACATATTGCATTATTTTACCTATTTATGGCTGAATATTATCAATGAAACGTAAAGCAAAGCAGCTTTTCCACAGGAATGTGAGTGTTGGGTTTAAATGATTCACTTTTTTTTTTTACTTGACAATGGGACCTACTGCCCCTGTCACACCAAACATGTGGCAGTGGACCTGTCTATCTCCCTATGGACCTCAAGACCAGGTATAATACCATAGAATAAAATACCATTACAGTTTGTGATGGTTTATGTGATTGTCTCTATGGTAGTATGTAATTCCTGTATGTATAGTAATGGTTTTCATTGTATCATTTTGTGGGGTTGTTGGTATCTATCAAGATGTCATTCTTGTGATATACTGTTATTACAAGGTTATAGAAGGACACACAACTTTTTACTATATTAGTATCCAGTATTTCACATTAAAATAAACACCAATTTTATATGATCCCTGTAATCCCTGTAATCTGATGGTGGCTGTATTTTGATACTGTCTTATTTTGATATAGTTGTATTTACATGCACACAGTAAGCTCAAAAGCCTGCTGCTTGAAAAAAAATATGTGTCCTATATACAGTGGGGGAAAAAAGTATTTAGTCAGCCACCAATTGTGCAAGTTCTCCCACTTAAAAAGATGAGAGAGGCCTGTAATTTTCATCATAGGTACACGTCAACTATGACAGACAAATTGAGATTTTTTTTCTCCAGAAAATCACATTGTAGGATTTTTCATGAATTTATTTGCAAATTATGGTGGAAAATAAGTATTTGGTCACCTACAAACAAGCAAGATTTCTGGCTCTCACAGACCTGTAACTTATTCTTTAAGAGGCTCCTATGTCCTCCACTCGTTACCTGTATTAATGGCACCTGTTTGAACTTGTTATCAGTATAAAAGACACCTGTCCACAACCTCAAACAGTCACACTCCAAACTCCACTATGGCCAAGACCAAAGAGCTGTCAAAGGACACCAGAAACAAAATTGTAGACCTGCACCAGGCTGGGAAGACTGAATCTGCAATAGGTAAGCAGCTTGGTTTGAAGAAATCAACTGTGGGAGCAATTATTAGGAAATGGAAGACATACAAGACCACTGATAATCTCCCTCGATCTGGGGCTCCACGCAAGATCTCACCCCGTGGGGTCAAAATGATCACAAGAACGGTGAGCAAAAATCCCAGAACCACACGGGGGGACCTAGTGAATGACCTGCAGAGAGCTGGGACCAAAGTAACAAAGCCTACCATCAGTAACACACTACGCCGCCAGGGACTCAAATCCTGCAGTGCCAGACGTGTCCCCCTGCTTAAGCCAGTACATGTCCAGGCCCGTCTGAAGTTTGCTAGAGTGCATTTGGATGATCCAGAAGAGGATTGGGAGAATATCATATGGTCAGATGAAACCAAAATAGAACTTTTTGGTAAAAACTCAACTCGTCGTGTTTGGAGGACAAAGAATGCTGAGTTGCATCCAAAGAACACCATACCTAGTGTGAAGCATGGGGGGTGGAAACATCATGCTTTGGGGCTGTTTTTCTGCAAAGGGACCAGGACGACTGATCCGTGTAAAGGAAAGAATGAATGGGGCCATGTATCGTGAGATTTTGAGTGAAAACCTCCTTCCATCAGCAAGGGCATTGAAGATGAAACGTGGCTGGGTCTTTCAGCATGACAATGATCCCAAACACACCGCCCAGGCAACGAAGCATTTCAAGGTCCTGGAGTGGCCTAGCCAATCTCCAGATCTCAACCCCATAGAAAATCTTTGGAGGGAGTTGAAAGTCTGTGTTGCCCAGCGACAGCCCCAAAACATCACTGCTCTAGAGGAGATCTGCATGGAGGAATGGGCCAAAATACCAGCAACAGTGTGTGAAAACCTTGTGAAGACTTACAGAAAACGTTTGA